AACTGACCTTGCCCTCGGCGAGGGTGTCGAAGATAGCCTTCTGGATGCGGCCGGCGTGGTCGTGGAGACCCATGTGCTGCAGCATCATGATACTGCTAAGAAGCATAGCAGTGGGGTTGGCGAGGCCCTTGCCGGCGATATCGGGGGCGGAGCCGTGAACGGCTTCGAAGATGGAGCACTCGTCACCAATGTTACCGGAGGGGGTGAGACCGAGACCACCGATGAGACCGGCGCACATGTCGGACAGAATGTCACCGTACAGGTTGGGCATAACGAGAACCTTGTCGTTGTAAGGGGTAGGGTCGGTGACGATGCGCAGGCATGAGTTGTCCAGCAGCTCAGCGTCAAACTCAATATCGGGGAATTCCTTGGCGATCTCGCGGGCGGTGTTGAGGAACAGACCGTCGGACATCTTCATGATAGTGGCCTTGTGGACAACGCGGACCTTCTTCTTGTTGATGGACTGCGCGTACTGGAAGGCGAAACGGAGGACACGCTCGGAAGCCTCGCGGGTGATGAGCTTGATGCTCTGCACGACACCATCGACGACAACGTGCTCAATGCCGGAGTATTCACCCTCGGTGTTCTCGCGGATGAGAACAGTATCGACATTGTCGTAGGGGGTCTTGTAGCCAGCAATGGAGCGGCAAGGACGCAAGTTGGCGAACAGGTTGAAAGTACGGCGGAGAGTCAGGTTCAGGGAGACGTGACCCTTGCCAACGGGGGTCTGAAAGAGCGGAGTTTAGTATCGCAGTGCAGATGCGAGGGAGTTATAGGCAATTGGAAACTGGAACATACAGCGAGGGGACCCTTCAGGGCGACGTAGTTGCGGCGCACACTGGCAATAGCATCGTCGGGAATGGCGGTCTTGCCATCCTTCAGGATGGGGGTAACATCAACAGATTCCCACTTGATAGGGGCCTATTACTGAACTTAGTATTTCGATCGCGTTGAAGAGTTAGAATCTTGAGAAATCAGTACCTTAGCGGCCTCGAAGATATCCTTGATGGACTGAGAGATCTCAGGGCCAATACCGTCACCCTCAATCAGAGTAACAGTGTACTTGCCCTATTTCAAAGTAGATCAATTAGCATTGACGTAATTATACACGTGGTGATGTTCTAGCGATTTATGGTCGGTAGTGTGCTGGCGCGGCTTGCACCGGCATAGATGAAAAAACGAGAAAAAACGTACATCAGGACCCTTCTGACCCTTGAACTTGGCAACAGCCTCCTGCGCAGGGCTGGCGTAGAAGCGAACCTATTTAAAAGATCAAAAATTAGTCAATTGAGCTTTAATTGTTAAAGCGTTTGTTGTCCTTGAGGGGGAATTGTGTACCTGCGCGATAGGAGTAGCAAAACGGGCCACGCGGGAGGGGCGCATGCACTGGCGAGCGACAGAGAAGTTCCGGGCAGCGATCATCTTGAAAGATCCCTTCAATTATTCTGGGGGAAAATAATAAGTGGTGAGGGGGTAAAAGGGAAGAAGGAGAAAGGAAGAAAGAATCAAATCTCTCGGCGCCGCACCGATCCGGGACTCAGACCGCATTGGTTTTCCCCCACGGCCCGAGTCCACTCTTTTAGGTGTCCACTCTTGACTTACGACATACAACTTAACATTTCAGGGTTCTGTTATCAGATCTCGGAGATCAACCCCCTGTTTGTCTATTTTGTGTTTCAATTCGTGGCTCTTGCGCTCTACCCCGGCAATTATGGCTGACCTCGACGTCGCAAGCCACTATAACCTACCCTCCGAGTTCCCGGAGGAATGGCCAGCATCTTTAGACGCGGCCGATGAACCAGAAGAACCGCAAGTTCAACGAGCTGATTCCCGTCCACGCAAGTCTCGATACATAGCTCTTGAACGCAGTACCAGTGATTGGAGGAGCAATTTTGGTTCACGAAGAGGAAAGGAGGGCAGAGAAAATGCGCGGGAAGACGAGCCGGATCCATTGGGTACAAGTGACAGCGTTCTCCGGATTCTCAAACAACGGGGAGTGCCCTTAGAAGAAGATGGGAAATCACGATTCCTGCTATCATCAACATCATTCTCGCCCGCACTATTCCTATCACAGGCGCATCACTCAGCCTCTATTGAATCGCTGACGAGCGGTCTGGATAACCTGTCGCATTCCATTGACCAGAAATCCGCGTCCCTAAAGGTGCTAGTGGAAGCCAACTTTGAGCGTTTCGTCCGTGCCAAGGCAACTATCGATAGCGTCTATACCGAGATGAGGAACCAGGGTGTTGATAAACAACAAGCTCTGAGTCCCCGCAGGTCGGGACATTTCCGGAGTTATTCAGGTCAGCAGCGGATTGCATCTCCCGCCCCAATGGTTCCCAAGAAGACCGCCCTTGTCAAGGAGAGTGAGTTTGGCATGAAGGGTATCAGAGGTCCTTTGGTTGAGGCTTCTGTCAAGGCCGAAGAAGTGTGGGGACCGGCCCTTGGAGGTCGGGAACGAGAGAAGGTACTCAAATCAGTGGTGGAGACTATGGAGAAACAACGTGATGTCTATGAAATTGGAAGCCTTTTGTCCAAGTCCATCCAGCAACGTGACTACGATGCTGTCGTTGAGCAATATACCAAAGCAAGGACCCTCGCGAATCGGGCGAAAAATATTGCCGAACAGGCATCGTCCAGTTCCCACCGGCAACTAAGCGACTCTGAGACACACACCATTCTAGCCATGGGCCGAATGTGGATGGATGTTGACCAACAAATCCATGACTTTAAGCGTGATCTATGGAGACGTCTTGCCGATGCCCCCACTACTTCAACTACGAGCACCGCTTCAGGGCCTGTAGAAGAACACATGGAGTTGATAGGGGCATTGTTGGAACTAGGTGTTGAGAACAACCCCATCTGGAAATGGCTTCAGAGTCGTGTTGAATTCTTGAAAACAAAGATCACCGGATTCTGCGACCGATGCAAGGTCGAAATTGAAATTTTAAGAAGAAGACTTGCTTGTGGAGAGAGACCAACTCCACAGGCTACAGCATCCTATCTCCGCCTAGCGCCCCGTGATGGTGCGGTAGAAATACCAGGGAGACTAGACACGGACCAAGTCATTGAGTTGTGGGAATGCATACAAACGTTCTTAACCCGCCTTCTGTCCTCTCAAAGTGGCTTGCTGGGGGAGGTGTTGGATTTCTGGGAAGTCGCACAATCATTCATTGATGGCAATCGACAACGGCTTTTGCCTACCGGGTTTGAAGGAGAGAGTCGCAAACATCACCATCTTTCCGACGACAATATTCAAGAGTTAGAGAAGGGTATCGATGTGTTGGTCAATATCATTCGAGAGAATGTCGTGGCTCTGTTCGCGGAACCCCCAACAGAAGATATCTCCCTTCTCTTCTCGCCAATTCCAGCAAGTCCATCAACCCCAGAGTCGAGGGGCATTACTCCGACAGAATCCCGGTTCAAACTGGATCCAACGAACCTACCATATCCTCCTCCAAAACTTGGAGAGCACTGGGAGACTTTCGCATTCTGGCCACCATTTTCCAATTCCCTCAGTGGAGTGCACTATCTGAGCAAATTCCTTATCACTGTAGGCACTGCGGCGAGCGAAATGGCAGCCCTAAGGCCGATTGGCGGCGCTGGAAAAACTTATGACCTCCTCAAGACCCTTGTCAGTATTTCCCGGGAACGGTGTGCACGTGTGGCGTGTGCTGCCTGGAGCAAAGACGCGGAGATCTGCAAAATGTTGGAAGACTGGACACGCGATTCAGATAATCGTGATTTGACTAAGATGCCGGGGTTCTTTGTGGCTTTTGAGAGTGCTATCCTTGGGGGCATGCAAAAGATTCTTTACATTTCGGAAGCTATGGCAAAGCCAGGTTCAGTGGATGTTGTCACTCAGCCGCCTGCGAAGCTACTTCAAATGGTCCGCTCTCAGTTTGTATCGAGTGTTTACAAAGCGTTAAGTGGCCTGGTCGAAAACGCAGAGCGCCTGACTACAGTAGATGAAGAGAATGAATGGATTATTGCACGACCGGCGATGACAAGCCAAGCGACTGACGCTGCTTTGTCGGTTCTCTCGGCTGATTCGGTCGATTCTTGGAATCGGGTAAATTTCAGTCCAATTCGATGTGATACCTGCGTAACTGACCACATAATAGAATGTTCGAATCCTTCTCACACTATCAAATCTCAAAGCTCTACAAGCCGACCATGTCCCACAGCTTATCTCGAACTTTGAGACATCATTCTCAGTCAAGCTGACGGAAGAGGCCAAGACCGTCCGGGACGTGCTGAGCCAGATTGAAGACAGGCTCTTTCAATCATACATCACCCCAACTACTGTCTTATTACACAAAACAATCACGGCTGGGATTGCATCTCCAGATTGGGAGCCGTCTGTTGACAGGCCGGAGCAAGTTCGGCCATATGTCTACAACACCATGCTGACCATGGTGCTGGTCCACACAGAGATCTCCACAACTATTCCGTCTACTGTGTCATCAGGTGCTAGTCGCGCTGCGTCAAGTTCACCTTCCTCGCTACTTTCCACTGTGTTGACACATCTCCTTTCTCACATTTCTTCGTCACTGCTTGATGCCTTCCGTGCTCGGTCCTCCTTCTCACTCCCGGCTTTGATGCAAGCCACCCTGGATACCGAGTTCATTGCACAGAGTCTTAGCTCATACACAACTGAGGAAGCAAAAAGTACGCAAGGCGAGATCTACACTGAGCTGGATCGTCGTACTACCAACGAAGCTCGCACAAAACTGAAGGCCGAACTAGGAGAAATGCGTGTTATCCTGAAACGGCTCAGAGATCGGACGAAGGGCGAGTTTGCTTGTTTCAAAAAGTCGAGAAGCGGTACAAGTGGAGGGAACAATAAGTCTTCTGCTCCGGCCGCGGCGTAGGTTAGCAAGACAGTATTAATCAAAGTGCTCTTGATCAAGAATCATGTATTGAATGCTTTGAATTTTTTTATGACCGGGTATCATGAAAACATAGTCAACACCATGTGTAGTTCGTGCCTTTCCTTTCTAATTCTTACCAACCATGCGCTGCACACGACTAAGCAGCGCATTGCTCTCTCTGCCTAATCTCCTCTTGCCAAACTGATCCGGCCGCTTCGCGCGCAGCAGCATGTCACGCTCTTTTTGTTTCGCCTCGCGATCCTTCTGTCGTGCTTCCTCCGCTTTTCTCCGCTTCTCTGCAAACTCCATCTCCTTTGCGAACGCCGAGGGCTTCGGTCTGCGCTCCCTCTGTTTGCCATCCCCTCGTGGGCGCCGTTCTGCTCTAGGTGCAGGTGTCGGCTCGGGCTCAGGCTCGTTCAACATAGCTATGCGATCCGGGTGGAGTTCCGGGGTCTTTGCGTCTTCAACAGTCTTTCCTTCATCCTTGCTCTTTTCGGCTTCCTCTGCCGCGGCGGTATCGTACACGGATTTCCTAGGCGCGATAGCGAGTTCTTCGGCTTTGATCTTGGCATAGGCCTTCTTCACTTTGGCTTTGTGAATCAAGTCATTTTTGATCTTTTGGGCTGTTGTTGATCATTTCATTAGTCTCGTTCAAGCTACAACTTGAAGGCATGCTCACTCTTGCGACGATATGTGCCATCTGGTAGGTTTGCGGGTCCAACGCTAAAACCCTTGCGCTTCTTGATCTCGGGTTCGCCCTTTGATGGAGCAGCATCGCCATCGTGGGTACGTTTTGGTGCCATGCTGATATTGAAACAAAACAGATATGTTTTGTCCTGACGTGGTGTTGAACTTCGAAAGACTTTCGGAGAAGAAAAAAAAAAGTGGCGATCTCCGCACGGAACATCGGTCTCGGCCACTAGCAGCTAAGTATGAACTCTTTTGAAAGAAATATCTATACACTTTATTCTTTTTGTTTTATGTAGATTCTAAAAGAATGAGATAGCTAATATCATTTACATCAACATCTACAATATCTATAATATCATGTATAATGTCCAATATATGTGACATTATTCATTTTATTGGCATTCCAACTGGCACATTCTGCTACATTTCTCTCCAACATCTTTACAATATTTAGGCATCGCGCCTTGATATTATTGAGACCCAAAGAATTCAAATATAAAAAAATCAAGGGCCTAATCACCTAAAGGGCAATACAACGTCACTGGCCCATCACATGACGTTTTCAGTCCGGATTTCCGAGATCGACGGGTGTCCACCTCCCATTCAACTGCACACCCAATGCTTTTCTTTCAACTATTCAATATTTTGAGATTGGGTATTTATACTTTAAGAGAGAAAAAAAAGCTAAAGCGGGGCCTATGGACATGCTACCTTCTATATAAGCGGTGCCTTCCTCGCGAAATCAGTAGAACTATTGACGGCATATACCTGAATCATCCTGGTACGCTGCGTCTTAACTCCCCGCGGCACAGCTTGGCTCCGGTTTCAAAAGGTCTTGCGCGGCTGGGATGTTGCGCGGCTGGGCTCGTGAAATGTCACTTTTAGCGTCTCAGGCCTTATAGTTTGCCCTTATCACGCCACCATGCCCCTATTTCGAGATCCAGATCGGCGGCGTTACTATCTACGGTCACCCGACCATGATGATCGTGAACAGCTGACAAGGTCCTCGGAGCCGCAGCTAAATGATTCCAATCACCGTGAAATAGCTGCACCAGATATGGCAACCGACTCTATGCATTCAACGGCGTTGAATCCGCCCAGGTCGTGGGCAAATGATCGGGAGGAGCTCATACACCGTATCAAAGAATCTTCACCTTGGAGACTTCAACACACGGTATGTGAATATATTCATGAATATCTGATTTTCTTTCCAGCCTCTGCTTGCTGTGATTATCCTTTTTTTACTCCTGTTTTGTTCTCTTTGTCTTTTCTTGCATAGTCCAACACATCTTCTCAAGTGTACATCAGCTAACATGCCAATAGTCCCCGGATAGGGAAAACAATGAACTTTCAATCATCCAAACCTCATGGGAGCAGTCGCAAATAGCAGGAAGAGAGCACGAAGACCGCTCCCTTAGCCAAGAACGCCACATCACCGCGACTGAGGAACTGGAATCGCCGGCCGATATCCAGAGGCCTCGATCAGCGTTACACTCGGGTGATTTCAGAGAAGGAGCCACAGATGGAGCCGCAGATCCCCATGACTCACACTCTCCTCGATCTTCTTTCACTGAGCGGAGTTCAACTTCTCCTCTTGTTGATTTAAGATCTTCCCACACTATTCCCTGGCTCGGAGCACCTGCCTTGCCACCCGATTTACGGAAGACCAGTACATCGAATGAAAATCGTCAGCCCAATGTTATCGTGGATGATCGTGCTCGTGCACCGTCGGTGGGCTCATTTTCATCAAGTTATGTTCTGAAAGCTCCTACCAGTCCTCTGGTATACCAAGCAAATAACACCGACTTGGACTTCTCTCCTCGTGTTGAGCATGTGGACGTGGAGAGAGCAAACCGTCGCCGTACTTTGCCACCAGATATTTTCGGGAATCTACAATTCTCTCCGCCAGGCGATAAAATTCCCAATATTAGTAGCCCATCTCCGCCCGGGCGGCGGCAAGATATCTTTACCAACCAGACGCCTTTGCCTCGCCGCTCGTTGACTTCAGCATATAGTCTTCAACTCGCACCGTCCCCGGGGGGTCAGATCCCACCATCGCGAGTAAGAAGGCCGTCTTTTGCCTCTGACATATCGTATAAACCCCACGCACCGATGGTGGGGTCTTACGAGGAGTCGATACTGTGCGGGAGAATGTCAATGAATCCTTCCAAGCCGCTGGATTTCATGGCTCAGATCGGTGTACTGGGCAAGGGGAAATGTAAAGGCCATCTCAAATGTCCGCCACATGTTACAGTGCCATTCCCGGCCGTTTTCTACAGCTATCCGACCTCGGGCTGCGGCCGCTCGATTTCAGACGACAATCCAAGCCCCTATGTGGGAGTAATTGACCTGGAAAACTCCCTCCCGAAAGAGAATCCTAGTCCGCCTCGACGTCACAAGCGACATTCAAGTCCCACGGGCGAGGGTAGTCCCACAGCAGAAGGAGAAAACGATAGTCGTACATCTGATGCCGGATCACGACGCCTCCAGGAAAAGAAGAATCGCAAGTCAGAATCGCTTAAATCTCCCCCGGGGGGCTCTTACCGGATTCCGCAACAGGGTCAATTACAAATCATAATCAAGAATCCGCACAAAACTGCGGTCAAGCTTTTCCTAATCCCATACGACCTCAGTGATATGGAACCTGGCACAAAAACCTGCATTCGGCAACGGAGCTATTCGGCAGGTCCGATCATCGATATGCCGCTCAGTGCACGGAAGAATTTTGGGACAGATCGCCCTGAAGCTTCTTTGAATCCCACGGAAGACCCGAACGATAAACCCACTTTGAGATACCTCATTCATTTCAACATCTGTTGTCCGTCACGCGGTCGCTTTTATCTATATTCGACTATCCGCGTTGTGTTTGCGAACCGTGTCCCAGATGGCAAGGAGAAACTACGGAATGATGTCAAATATCCTGAGCCTCGGTACACCCGGTACAAGCCATCCCGAGAGCCTTCCACCTCCAGCACTGAGGGCGTAAATACGCGCCTAGGAATTGGACAAACTTCCCGCAGGCTGGGTGTGGAGCAGGGAGCGATCCCTCACCTCCGTCCACATATGTCGTCTCCCGGCCAGTTCCCCTCGCAGTTAGGTGTGCGAAGTTCCTTGGATGCTCCAGGCGGCCCTGAAAGTACTCCTTCCTCGCATAGTGCGTCTCAGTACAACAAGCTCGCCAAGGACAACGAGGATTCCAGACGTTATCCTTTCATCTCGAATCCAAGCAGTTCAGAACCTAGGGAAAGCCTACTTGCTAAGAGACTCCGAGGTCTCGATGTGCACAGGGCGGAGACCTCAGTCGATGAACGGCATCCACGCAAATTAGGCTTCTATGATCAATCATCGCCCACCCACGACTACCATCCTCGCTAAACGAACCCAATGCAATACACTCCAAAGATCTCCTCGCTATTCAGTAAAATAGCACTTCCCATCTCCCACATGTATCTTAACCTTCCTTGACATTTTTCCTGACTACATCCCCAAAGCCCTGGTGAGCAGCACAGAACAGCATGACAATAGGCGCACTGGTTTGCCGATCTTTGTTCATACTAATTCACATAATAGCATCGAATATCTTCATTCATCTTGATTCAAGTCCTAGCGATGTGTGTATTTATGTTTACCACTTGGACTTCCAGTTGATCTGCTTTCGTTGGTTATGGTTATATTGGGGAGCCCAGGCGCATAGGCCGTTGACTATACCCCCCTTTCTATATTTCTTTTTGGTACCTTCTCCGTGTTGATTTGGTATTTACACCAAGTTTATCTATTAATTAGGTTCACTCCGTAGATTTTAAATTTGATTACATATATCTCGCTACATGAATTGCGTTGCTGCACGATTTTCACGATTTTCACTTCGTGTTTGCCAACAATGTACACTAACAGCGGATATATATTTAGGTATTTTCACAATTCGAGAATGTTTATTTAAAGACACAAGAAGGTAAGATTTTGTGAAATGTACTAGAATAGGAGTTCCTGCAGTTTATATCTACAGAGCGCTAGATACAGCAAAATTATCCAACATACCAAGTGCCAAGCAACCAAAGAGAAGACTGTGATCTCAACCCAGTCGACATGATGTATTACAATTCTGCCGAGTCCAAGAAAATAAAATTTCCTAGCCTCAGCTAACGAGCCGAGCTTAACCAGCATGCTCCACGATCTCGCTTACGAGCACGCCGTTCTTGATGTAGCTCTTGAACTGCTCAGGAAGAGGGCACTCCTTGGTATCTTCATCGGTGCCCTCCGGTGGTGGAAGGTTGATGTTTACAGCGGAGCACTTACTAGTAAAGACCTCAGTGTTGAGGCTTTGCTGGCCAAGGTACACGGTAGCACCATCAACCTGGTCCATCAGCAAAGTGGGAACCGTGCCGTCGATCTGCACAGCAAACTTGGGACACTTGATGATGTCAAGACTGCTGACGAGAGAGTCCACTATGAGAGAGAGACCAACGCAGTTGTCAATGGCAATCGCGTTAGCCTTGTTGGAGACCTTGATGATGGTTTTGTTGCAGCGGCTGATGAGGATGGACTGATTCTGCTGAGCGGAAATCTCGACGATCTCGCCAGGGGCATCGAAGTTCTCAATGAGCCACTTGCTGCCCTCGAGTTCCTTGCGGGGCGGCTTGCGTGCGCGCATATTTTCCGGCTTGGGCTTTTTGTTAGGTGCTGGCGACTTGCCCCGCACGGCGCTGGAGCCAGCGGAATCCGAGACTGTTGATCCGGCACGCAGACTGGGGTTCTTGTGTGTCATCTGCGATTTATCGACCTTGCGGAGGCTGGAGGTGATACCCTCGCCCTGGTTGAGCTGGTCGAAGACAGCGCCCATGTCTGGTGCTGGTGCTGCAGGGGCCGGAGCGGGGGGAATACCAGGAGGCGGAGGTGGGGGAGGAGCACCGCCACCAGGGATATTGAGAGATGGGACCGGAGGAGGAGGGGGAGGAGGAGGGGCACCGCCGCTGACCGGAGCAGGACCGCCCTTGGCCTGCTTCAAAGCTTCCAAGGCATCAATGCCAGATGCATTGTTCCATGTGAGACCCTGGGGGAAGTGCTTCTTAAGGTATTCTGCAAGAGCCTTGAAGTTTTGATAGTAGGCTTTGATGTAATCGACATGTGTTTTGTCCCTGTCAAATTGTCAATATAGGGATTCCTTCAAGACGTCATTAACAGGAGTGCTCACTTGTCCTTGTACTCCTTCAGTACCTTATTTCCATAGTATTCAATGCCACCAATCATGTCCGTGACAAATTCCGCAGGCTTGCTTTCAAAGAACCAAGCCAGCGCAACAATGCCCTCCGCAACAGCGCTCAGGTGGTTGAATAGCGGGGATGCTCTGTTTGATTCGCGAATGTTGTTAATGCTATCAGATGCCTTGTGCAGATCCGTCATTAACTCCGGAGGCTGGGTATCAGGCTTCTTGGCCTTTGTCACAACGAAAAGATAGGTGCGTTCAGCTTGGAAGGCTTGAAGGACGGCTTTGGACTATATATCCAGTCAGCAACTGCTTGCGACAGACCAAGTTCCAAGAATTCCTTCTTTTAAGACATACTTGCTCAGCAACCAGACCACCGATCTTCTCTCCCAGGTTGACGAAGTTCTGAACATCTCCCTTGATCAATGCATCGAAGTCCTGAATCTGTGGCGGAACCGGGGCCGCCACAGGGGCTGCGGGCGGAGGAGGGGAAGGTTTAGGGGGTTCTGGAATAGCGGGCACGGAAGAAGGAGACCCAGCTAAGGCCTTTTGAGCGTTAGGATCATCGTATGACATCGCCATATCCTCCAAGCGTGAGGTCGCTGCCTCGAGCCTGTAGACAAGTCCAACGTCAGTCAAGTCTGCCAGATGTAGTTGCAAAACAGTTTAGCAGGCACTGAACCAACAGCAAAATGCCATAGGCCAGACACTGCTAATACTAAGCAGACATACCGCTTGATGAGGGTGGTGAAATTATGCATATGGCCGCCGGACGCCATGATAGGCAACACGTTGCTCCAACGGTGGAAGCGGAAAGGTAAAAAGGGTGATTTGAGTAGGTTGAGATATAGGGATTATCGAAGAGCAAAATCCCCTGCTATTTGGTAACTTTATGCCCTCAAGTTCCGAAGACAATGCACGGGATGGTAGGGAGTAGAAAGAAGACAAAGGAGCTCCTGAGGCAGATGACGGCTTTAGAGGTGGTATGGTACGTTACAGCGGGATCCGTATATGGGAATGACGTTGCGGGGTATATTTGGTAATTATATTACCATCCGATCCACCGTAATGCGATAGGAACTCCAAACACTTCATTGTTTTGTTCCCTCTCTGAACAACAATCTTCTTTTCCGTATGAATAGCCATTTAGATGCGAATATGTTGCCCCAAGATCAGCAAATGGAGGTCGAGTTCTGCACCTTGGGAATGTTTATAATTGGTATGCTTTACTTCAACTCTCAAAGTGGGATGTAGACTCACAGGTGTATTGTTGTTTAGATGAGATTGATTTCGGTGATTCAAGACCCGGTGTCAAGAATATCCTTGGTGGTGCAGCCTCATTTGCAGTTGTGGGCGCCCGCTTGGTCTCGGGCTCGAAGTATGCACGATCTGTGAGCTGGATCGTGGATGTTGGCTCCGATTTCCCCGCTGAGACGCTTGATGTAATCAAATCATGGAACACGTCTTGTGTTCTTAGAGAGGACCCTAGCAGGCTAACAACAAGAGCCTGGAATGGCTATCATCCTGACGAGAAACGAGGTAAGTTTCTGATATCTTGTGAAAGTATGCACGCAGTGACTAACTCGGACAGACTTCAAATACTTGACACCGAAACTAAGACTCGAGCCTGAAATGTTGTCAGATTCCCAGGTGTGGTCCAAGACATTCCATATGGTCTGTTCTCCATCTCGTTGTATGTCTATAGTGCATCAAATCCTTCAACGACGAGATGAATTGCAAAAGGCAGGGAAAGCGCCGTCTTCCGCGCATGCTTCCAAGCGCCCTATCTTCGTCTGGGAGCCAGTCCCTGATCTCTGTACTCCAGAAGAACAGGACAAGTTTTTCGCCGCAAATAAAGTCGTGGATGTGGTGAGTCCCAACCACATGGAGCTGGGCATGATGTTTAACCATCCCGGTTGGACCGACAAGAGCCAAGAAGGCCAGCAGCTAGTCCAAAAGATTACAGACTCCGGAATTGGTCCCGATGGAACTGGCATGCTGGTTATTAGGGCAGGAAAGGATGGTAGCTACGCCTACTCGAAGTCTAGCAAGATCTGGTTCCCCGCCTATCATCAACCCGATGCCTCCGGTGCTACGCCTGTGATCGACCCCACTGGGGCGGGAAACTCTTTCCTTGGTGCTCTAGCCCAGGGCATGGTGACTGCAGGCCGAGAGCCATTCGAGGTCATTGACTCTGTTCTATCAAAATCCGAAAATTGGAATAAAGCCCTCGAGTCTTGGGGTAATTACCAACATTACCCGATAGCACTCATTTGCGCAACTGTCGCAGCTGGCTTTGTGGTCGAACAGATTGGTGTGCCGCATATTGATGCTAATGGAGACGGGGAGGAATTGTGGAATGGGACTGAATTCACGGAACGTGTCCGCCTGTACACGCAGCGATTATTGAGGACACTTGAAGAGTCCCCTCAGAGACATATATTGGTCAATTGACCAATGGCCGAATGAGGAACGCCCTTTTATTGTCGTACAGCACACAAGTGATCAAATAGTAGAAAAAACATGAAAAGAAAAGGTCCGTCCTGCTGAAAATCCTCCTACAACCGCCATCCAGTATCCTGGACCTTCTTCATGAGTCGTTCTTCGCGGCTTGTTGCTGCTCGTGTTCGCGAATTTGCTTGCTCCAGCTATAAAGTAAGAGATATCAGGGTCAGCATAAGGTACACCGAGTGACATAAGAGTTTGGGCAACGGACTATCGGCTGGGGAAGAAGCGGCCGGGCTCGGGCATCTTGTCGCGATATTCCCGTTCAGCACTGATGCTGAAGGCGACGGCAGCGATACCAATCACAAAAGCGCCCATGATCGCAGTGTTGGCCCTCCAGTTGGCTGGCTGGGCGTACCAACCACCAGCGGGGGACCAGACTTCCTTGGGGTACCTGCCAGATCAAATCCATTAGCTCCTGGCAAAATCATGAGAAGTACAAGTACGTACGGGATCTTTCCACCTCCACCCATTGTGACGAAGATGCAATTGAAGGGTTTGTTAAGTAGATAAAGCGAGCGTAGGGCTAGTAGTTCTCAAAGGTGGAAGCCGAAAGGGCCGTCTCGGTCGCAGGTCTGATGCCAAGGCGCTAATGCCACAATAGGTTTAGCGCAACCTCACACGACTTGGCCATCCCGTGACTGCCGCGACAATTTCTCTTCTCTCTCGTTGATGGTATGCTAATCGATTGCGTCGCGACTCTCCCTCCCGTCCATTGTATAATCTTTTTACGCCCCTCAGAATACCACAATCGCCCAAATGAAGAGACTGCAACTCCAAAGATGGAGCAGTTCAGTCCTTTCGCCGCGGGCTCGGACTGTGAACCGCCTGCATCAACACATCTACGGGCAACGGTGTCAATCGACCGCTTCCCCAATCGAAGCCCGTGATGATCAGACCACAGCAATTTTCGAGGAACCAGCAGCTTTGGATGATCAATTGGCTCGAATTGTCAAGCACTCCCACACTCGCAAATTGCAACTCAAATATCCCTCTCCCCCAGTCAACGCAGCTCGAAAATCTGCAAAACTTGCCGCTCTCCACGCTCGACTCTACCTACCCTCCAGACTACCTATCGAGACACTTGCACGCACATTAGTCGATGCATCAGCTGATCCGAACTCGAATTTCAACAATGCCTCGCTGGCCACTCTCGGTCACGACCTCCTTTCATACTACGCCACCGAGCACCTTATTTGCACGTACCCTCGTCTGCCATTGACCGTGATCTTTGCTGCCATGTACGCATACGTTGGACCCAAGACCCTTGCCGCGATGGCACGAGAATGGGGTGTTGACTTGGCCGCATTGCCCGGAGGAGAGGTCGATCCCGGTCTGTTGCAGTTCCAGAGAGTCGACCCTGGTGCTGAGATTCCCTCGGGCCCGACCCACCCGACAGCACGGCCATACGAAGCACAGAAGAACTGGAGGAAAACGGTCACTTCTAAGATTTTCTATGATGATGAATTCGGTGACCCACTCAAGGGGCCCAAGCCATCTGCGGCAGGTGTCACCACCGAGCAAGCGAGCGCTGAGTTCGTCCGAGCTGTTATGGGCGCCATCTACCTGCACGCTGGCCGCGCCGCAGCCAAACGATTCTTCGAGCAACACTTCCTTTCACGACACCTCAACATCTCAGAATTGTTCAACTTCCAGGCGCCAGCTCGTGACTTGACCCGGTTGTGCGCTCGCGAGAGCTTCGAACGTCCAGTCGCCAAGGTCATCAGTGAGACTGGTCGTAAGAGCAGACACCCCGTCTTTGTGGTCGGTATCTTCTCTGGTCAGGACAAGCTAGGGGAGGGCGCTGGCGCCAGTCTGATGGAGGCCCGCGAGCGTGCTGCTGTTGCCGCGCTCAAGGGTTGGTATCTCTACAGCCCTCTTTCTGTGCGCGTTCCCAGTGCGATGGAGGAGCCATCGGCCCTACCTTGGAAGCCGGTCCACGTTGACCTGGGCGAGGTCATTGTTTAAGATATTTGGTGCAATGGGATGCCTTGGTCCAAGGCACAGTAACATATTATTTCATGTCTGTTTTTTTTTGTCATCTCGCTTTTCTTTTTCCGGTGTGCTATTCTTTCGCATGGGAAGCTGGCCGGCGGTAAAAAGAGTCATCTATCCTGTCTCCTGCATGACTGGATCCTGTACATTATGGGAATTCCAATCCCTTCGATTCACCTGGTGTCTTTTTCTTCGAAATTTCCCTTGCTGTTTTTTACCCTCTGTTTTACTCTCCAGTTAGATATCGGGCAAAACTAGGCATGCCATGGCCTTCGTTTTCTCCCTGCCATCCAAATATAGAAGCTCTCAGGCATCTACTGAATGCATACAAACTCAATGTTAATGGAAGCTCTTTAGTCTGTGACCTGCTAGTTGTATACCTCTAGATGACTACGAAATAGATCTACCATGCCTCTTCATCTGTACTTGACATTCATCCCATCACTCTGGGTTAAGAATCTCATCCTCCCAGTTCCCGCTACTTCTCCCGACACCCACCTTTGTAGGACTATCCAGATATAGGCCATACTCTTCCCACAATTCTCCAACCCCAACCCCGAAAAGACCCTTCCAGAATCCAATACTCTGTTCACGCACCTCCTCCCCCTCCCCTTCCCTCACATAACCAACTCTCAAAAGCCGATCATTCAACATCCCCACCGCACCCCTCCCAACCCTAACATCCTCAATCCACGCCAGAAAATACGCCGTATGCTGATACCCCATATCCCACTTCGGCGGCCGCTCCGCCGCAGAAAGAGGACGTTTCCAATGTGGCGGCTCCAGACCAGCCTTCAGCCGCACGAAGTCAGCTATGCCCTCGATAAGTCCGCCCGGCGGACGCGGGATCTCCTTGCTACTATGATCTGAGGAGCTGGGCGGCGCTGTGTGCTGATAGCAATGCACTAGCTCGTGGGTCAGGACTCCCACCAGCTCATGGAGCGGGTCATCTTTCGCCGATGGGCCAGAGGTACAGTGCTGGATGTACGGGAGCGAGACGTGGATTTCCTTGTGTGCATCGTCGAGCTCTGTGCCTGTTGTGTATGCCACGCCGCTGTAATCGCGTAGGAAAACTGTTACGGATCTTGTTGGCGGGATGCTGGGTGTGAAGAAGGGCTGCTGGGTGTTCTCCAACTTTGGGGGTGAAGTATAGAGGTATTTAATGATGTTTGTTAGGGCTTTGTCGAGTGTTGACGCAACGTCTGGGAGGAGAGTGAGGAAAGCGCTTGAGGCTGGATGCCGTAGGTCTTGTACGTGAAGACGGAGCTTTGGTTGGGGGATTGATGAGGCGAGGTTCATTCCTAAGTTTCTTTCCTTTTCTTCTTTGCGCGAGGTTTGTCGTACTTGCTGGGCATTGCCTTTGGGGATTGCGGAGGGTTGAGGTGCTGGGACGGTGCTTGCCATGATGTGTTTGGTTTGACTGAAATCAATCAACTGGGAGGCCCACGGGTATTTGTTCAACTTATATAGCTCTCTCTGTATTGGTGAGGTGTATGAAAGGTCAAGTGGGATGAGAGCGGGGTTCCTTCGAAAAGGCAACGTGATGCTGACTAGACTGACGCTATTTGCATATAAACAACCTCGAGCCTACAAATGTGATCATCTATAGTGACAAGGCTGAACACCTTAGTTTTCATACCACCTTTAAATACCACCTTGTCGGCGCAGGTGATCCTTAATAGGCACTATGCTCCACTTTGACGATCTCGTGGGGTGCTAGGACGCTTTGATTCACATTGATTGGAGTGGAAGAAATGTATGGAGTAAAATGTCATCGACTGCATGTCAATTGAGCATTATATTGATTTTTTAACGCGTGTTAGTCAATGCAGTGGACAGCTTCTAGTCATGCGCATGTGTTACTATGACTTGTATTACTATTTTAATATCTTGTTTTTGGAAGATTCAAAATCTGCCTACTCACATATACTAACTTGCCAATTTAAACATTGACCTTGAGATGTAAACATGACGATTGTTGGTTGCCCATTGCGACGCGTAAGTCTCCAAGTTAATAAACAAACCACTTGGGCAGGTTGGGCTCTTGATATCCATCGGGCACCTCACATATGTAGATCCAAGGGAGTAGACAGGTATAAACTAGTGATACGTAGATCTTAGGAATCAACTTCTAAAATGAAATAAAGGATCTTAAAAGGGATAACCCCTTTAATATCCTTTTTAATATCCCGCCCAAGGCCATTCGCGCTTATCGTCACGCGCTTATCGCCCCTTGTTTTCCCTTCCACTTTTCAACATCCCACTATATCCAAGTCACCTTTTGCGCTCTATTTGTCGCTTCCATCGCATTCGGTACGTCGTTATCATCCTTCGCCTCCGAACACGTCGGTGCTTCTCGCTATCCTTCTATTTCCGATATTCCGTACCCTTTTGCGACCCCATCCTACAACCAGTTTATGCGTTCACTGCCTGCCCACATCCATGTTATCATCGCTTTATCAAATCGTTCTGCCTTGTCTGGCCTATTAATTTGTTGCGCTGGAATCTGCTTCTAACTTTCATCCTTGCTAGTGAGACATCGAATCCGAATCTGTGGTCCGATCCGCTATTGGCCTTGTTGCCTTTTGATTCCTCCGGATCGTCCATTACATACAATATCACCCTTCTGTCCATCCCCTTCAGTGTCTGACCCGAGTTGAGATCAATCTCTCGGTGGTGACAATGGAGGCGAAGGCAGCAGAACTATTGGCGGCCTTCAAGAACCCCAACCTGTCTGTTGATTCAAAGATCGCCTACCTCTCTAGTGTCAAATCCGATATCAAACAGAAAAATGTCCCCGAAGGAGCGATTCGCCCCATTTTTGAAACTTTGCGCCTCGCCATCGGCTCCCAACACTACTCTGTTCTTGGGGCGGGGTTCTCCACACTTGGCCATCTCCTGAAGCGCCTGGCAATCCAAGATCAGGAGCAATGGATTGTTCATCAGGCGCAGAGCTTGTATCCTACTCTTTTGGAGCGTCTCAATGACCCAAAAGAACGTATAAGAGCCCAGGCTGCATCGATATTCACCGAACTGTGGCCATTTGCAGGAAATGAAGTCGAATACCATGTGCTAGAAGTTGCACTTGTTGGGAAAAATCATCGGGCGAAAGAAACGAGCATGCTTTGGCTGGCAAATGTAGGTTTATGCATCCTGCAAGGCTTGTCTCAGCTACTAATCTCGACCTGCAGATGACGAAGCACCATGGTTTGTTGTTCCGCCAATATGTCCCTTCCCTAGTTTCGTGCTTAGAGGACGCCGATAGCGCCGTTCGAGATACGGCTAAGTTGGTCGTGATCGATCTGTTCCGGTGAGTGAAAATATCCCTCTTAATCGTTATATTCATCGTCTCTAACCAAACTTAGAACCGGCCCCGCAAGAGCGAAGTCGGACCTACAAAAGCAAATGGCGGCACGCGGTGTGAGGAAATCTATCGCGAATGCTATCCTTTCTGGAATTGGTTTAGGGTCTGTTGAACCCGACACTGCATCCTCTACGCGCCCAATCTCTCGCGCTGAACGCTCGATTTCGGTGATGTCCTCACGTTCACATGCTATGGAACAGACTGATGATGGTTAGTATTTTCATTCTATTTATTCCTGGGAGATTTGCGCTAGGTGTACTAATTTGTTTGCAGAGATGGAGCCCGTGAAGCCCCGCCCAGCTTCTAGAGCTAACCGTGAGAGACCAATAGCCTCATCCGCACCTACAGAACCACCCATTGTGAACCGACCCCGAACACCGGCCCCGGCACCAGCATCCCAGGAACCATTGCCAGATGATGATGGTTTAGAACCGTTTGATGTTGCCTCGGCAAGGGACGTTGATGATCTTGTGCGCGATATGCTACCCTGGTTCGAGGGAAGAGAATCTGAGGACAATTGGTCAAAGCGTGAAAAGAATGTGATTCTTTTCCGTAGACTAACTCGAGGCAATGCGCCGCACGACTTCTCTCAGACCTATATCAATGCAGTAAAGACACTCCTTGATGGTATCTTGAAGGTTGTCAACTCTTTACGAACCACAATGTCTAGCAACGGCAGTCTCTTGATCCAAGATATTGCCCGAACATGTGGCCCTAAAATTGACCCAATGGTCGAGATAATCATGCAGAACCTATTGAAGCTTTGCTCGGCGCTGAAAAAGATCGCCGCCCAGAACGGAAATGCCACTGTCGAAGTCGTCATTCGAAATGTTTCATTTAGCGTTCGCCTTCTGCAGCACGTTTCTTTCGCAACCCAGGATAAAAATGTTGCAGTGCGTCAGTTTGCTATAGGCTGGCTAAAAGCTTTGATTATCCGCCAGGCGCATCATAAAAGCGCAGTTGAACATGGCGGTGGCCTTGATCTTGTCGAGAAGTCGATTACGAAAGGATTGGGAGATGCCAACCCTGGTGTGCGCGAAGCAACAAGGAGTACCTTCTGGACGTTCTACAGCGTGTGGCCGGAGAGAGCCAATATGATAGCGGACACCCTCGACCCCAAGTCACGAAACCTGCTGGAAAAGGATCCATCGAACCCCAACCCCCCTTCAAAAGGTGCACCTGCATTGTCTGCAAAGAGCCCCGCCAAGAGTCGCTCCGCTCTACAAGAAGCTATTGCTGCTCGGAAGAAGGCCCAGATGCCTTCTCGACCCGAGTCGGCTCAGCCAACCTTTGCCGAGGCGAAGCCACCTGTTCCTACCTCCAAGTCAACCCGGAGTGTACCCACTGGGGCTCCTCTCTCGTCTCTATCTTCTGCACCTATGAGACCCGCCATGAAGCCTCGACGACCGGAACTGAGTCGTCCTGCAACTGCAGACCCATATGCTCGTCGTCCTGAGTCACGAGCCCAGTCTAGTACCCAGTCTACGCGACAAGCGACAACTTCTCCCCGGGCTATTAGATCCACCAAGCCTTCAACACCTACATCGAAGGCCCCTCTAACAGCACCTCGCACTCGCCCGCATGAGTCAGCGCAAGCTGCTTCAGCGAAGGGCAGGCCGAAGAAACTCGATTTATCGAAGTCCAAGTCTCACAACGATCTCATGGCTGCCAGTCGCGCTCGCAGTGACTCGAACGAAAGTCTTATCAACCAGCCATCTGCAAGAAGTCCGCGTCACGGGAATTACCTCTCCCCGTCCGAGGACCACCATTCCTCAGCCCCTGTCTCGTTGGAAAGTCCTCCCCTTCATGCATCTCAACCTCTTCTGTACTCAGCACCGGATGGCCCTCACGCGGATTCGGTTCCTATTGAAGACCCGGAACCAACGATAGAAGAGCCAGAAGCAATGATACAGGAGGAACCTGTCGTTGCCGCCCCTCCACCTTTCATCCCCGAACCCGATCTTGCAATGTCTCCCGCGCCTGTGTCTCCTGCTCGCCAGCATATAAATCTGGCCTTTGGTGCTGGACCTGCATCTGCTGTCAAACCCCAGCCTGAGTCAATGGTAATCTACGAAGATCCTACTACGCCCACCGCGGAGAAACATGAGGATGTTGACTACGTCGCCTCGGTTGGAAAGATTTCCCCTTCAAAATCGTCCTCTAGCCGCCATGATCAACCTGAACATAGTGAAGCAGAGGATCACCCCATTTCTGAGGACATCCCAGCCTCGGTGGCTGCTTCGGCTAGGAAGCCTACACCTGATTTGGCCCCCAAGCAGGACTCTAGTATGAACTTTGAACTTCGAACTCCATCTCCAACACGCCGGGCACCGCTGCAACCAAGCCCGTCACCAACGAGGGGTCGTGTCCAACCAGCGGCTTCTAATGCCATGGATATCGAGGCCCCGCTTCCCCAAGAGTCCCACATGGGAACGAATTTGATCGATGGCAACAACGAAAATTCGACTCCTCTTCTGACCAAGACTGTAGACTTGCCTGCAGTCCCGCGGTCTGCAGCTAAGCCGACTGCCCTTGAAGAAGTGACTGCAAACGAACCTACACCGCGTTCGCCAGAGGTGAGGCAGAGATTAGTCGAATCATTGTCTCAATCAACACTATCCCAGTCAACAATGTCTGACGATTCCACACGACGTACTCGAAAGTGGCTTGATCGTCAACGCAGCCCTAGCCCACGTTCAAAGGACCCAGTTAATGCCAGGGAGATGATCCATAAAGGCCTAGCTCGCATTCTCTCGAGAACCATGGAGCCTTCGGGTTATCGGAAGCTGCAGGGACTCATCCAATACCACGGCGATGAGATTGTGTCCCAAAGCGAGGACTACAATTCGTTGCTGGAAGCTCTATTCGATGAACTGGAAGCGACGCCTTCCAACCGCAAGGATCATGACGTGAAGACCCAGGTTTTGGCCACTATCCGTTCCATGCTTCTACGGACCCGCGAGCATTTCCACCCCTACGACACTCGCGCCATGGCAGCTATTATTCGGGCCCGCCGACACTACGAGTCCACTTCCCACTTTGTTACTTGCCTGGAGGAAGTGGCAGATAAACTTGTATTTTTGACCTTGCCCGAGACTGCGATTGTCGGTGTTCTGCAAGGATTGGATCTTGGAGCGGAAGCAGAGAATGATGAGACCTACAGGTCCACCATTATGGGCTTGAGTACCATCCAGCAGTCGCTATCGCGTCCTGGTGTTGATATCGACGATGAGCTTCTGGCTCGAATCGGTGCTGTCGTGATGCAACAGCTCGGGCACCCTCGCCCTGGTGTCAGAAAGAATGCCACTGAGCTCTGCACATTCTTGAACATCACCTTCGGGTCCGAGCGAGTGCAAAAAGTCACGCAGCCTCCCCGTGAAGGATCACTTAACCTTCTGACCTACTTTATGGCCCGACGGACTCAGTAATTGCTTTTTGATTTTGCTTTTTTACTCATGTCTATCTGTGTATGTGTTTAATACCTCTGGGTAGCGTGGCGTGTCAGGCCGTTGGCTTTCCGGTGTACATAGGTCCCTGTTCCATATTTATTTCTAAAAATTCATCTTTGTATGTTTATTTAATTTCTGATATATAAGCCCTACCTATATTCTTGGTAGTCATTGAGCAAGGAGCCAAAGCCTTGGACTCAATCCTTCCCCGTAAGCTCTGGCAGCAGTCCCCGATTTGTTTCTATTAACCCACCACGTCTAAACTCAAGTTAGAACAAGACAATGAGTCCTTTGTCCCCATTCCCACTAGGCTTGGGATCCTTGTTTGATGTAAACAAAGATGTAAAAGCCTCGACTACAAAGTCGAGTACAAAGGTATTGTAGAGCCCCGAGCCTTCGGATAGATACAAAGACAATGAAGGGAATCTTTCAGATCAATATAGTATCATGACCCGAAGAGCCAAATTGCACAGCCCCTTGTCGGTATATAAATGGATCTCTCTGCCTCGAAAATGATATCCCATCAACATCACATTGCGATTATCCAGCCCTCAGCAGCCCAACTAGCAATCATGAAGTTTTGGAAACTCGGCTGGGGCCAAAAAGAGCCCGTACACTTCACACCCACAGCATCCGAACGCTTCCCAATCGAAGTAGCACAAGCCTTCGAACCCATAGACGAGGTCATCCGCAACGTCGACCGCACCGGCTCACCCCCCGGCACTCTCCTTTGTTCATTCCCCGATCCCGCACCAGGCACAAGTCTCAACCAGTTCCGTTTCCAGCTGTACCGAGAAAACGGAGTTCTGCCCGGTGTTATCGGTTACCTTGAGAAGTATGTAAGTGCTACACACATGGTGTGGAGTATGTGTGCTATTCTTGCAGATAGTGGTATCGATCCCGATTGGAAAAATACATTTGAGATGTGGAAGCCACAGTGGGATCAGTTCTGTAGGAGCTTTGAAATCCATGGAAATACTACGCGCACTTTGGATATTCCTCCCTCGCCGGTCAATGTAATGTGGATTCAGAAACCTAATAGTCTTGGCTTTGTACGGCTTAGTCTTGGTGACTATAGGGAGAAGAAGCTTGATCAGGATGTTCTAGAGGCTCTGTGGAAGTGGATGCTGGATGTGCCCCCTGAAGCAATTGTTGAAGGGACTTTTATTATTATGCTGGGGCATGAGCCTTGGTTCCCAGAGGAGTAGAATCGGAAAGGTGGCGAGTAGAGTTGAGATAGATCGAGGATAAATGTCAATTATGTGCTGATCTGAAACCTGAAGTGTATATGTAGGCTTGTAATAGTAGTAGAATATAGTAGGGACATGGAGTAGCAGAGGTAGTATGTACTGGGCTTTGGCTGAGTGTGGATTATGGCTTGTTGTGCAAGCTATTGGCACTTCACACCACGGGTTTCATTATTGTGATTGTGTAAATTTGTATGGAGGCAATCGCTTCAAGGAAAAGTGTCTTGTGCGAGGACGGCACTTGATACCCTCGAAAGAGAGCAAGATTATCAAAACACTGTCTATGATAGATATCACGGACAAGGTCCGACGACAGGGTAATGCAATATACCTCGGAGAATAATGCGTTCAGGCCATTGAATGACTGTTAAAGGAGCTGGACGTTGACGAAAGAATTTGGCGCCGAGGTCTTCGTGCTATATGAACCTGGACTTTGTAGTGAGCCCTAATATGACCAACACTTGTTGTTCGCACTAGGGACTGGCAGTCCTTTGACTTCTTCTTTATATATTCTAGTAGTATACAAATTGGGGACTTGGCTCAACAACCTCTTGCGACGTGAATGTAGTACGACGGCATTTGGTCTCGATCTCGGCCACGCCAGGTCCAAGGAATGTACGAAGATCCGGAATTTCAATATCAGCCTGTCCCCACATTACAGGCTTTTCCGCGGCATCGATATCATCTGGCGGTGGATGGCAAGCAGCACTGATAGCCGCGCTACAGTTCATTGCAATCGGCATGGCGGCCGACTTGAACCTCCGGAACATCAAAATGAGAATTCCCACAACCATAATGAGCCAAGGTATAACCATGACCTTTAGACCAAGAGACGACACACCTATCACGTATATCGTTCGACTGTGATGCATACTACCCTGAGCATCTCGAGGTACTATTTGGACGAATGACAAGGCCTCGGAGGCAAGCCAATGGGAAAGGGCGGATAACACCATAAACGGGACACTATACCGGTATGGCACAGAGAGGTAGTATGTTGAGCGTTGTTCTCCAGTAGGAAAAGAGACCCGAAGGGGCTTGCGTTCGACGCCGAAATCATTGTATTCGGCAGCAAGCAACATTCGAGTGAGAGTATTGTTGTAGATCGCGTAGATTATTGAGATCACAGCTTGCGGAGAATTCACAACCAACACAGTGGCAATGAATCCAAAGGATCCAAGTGGGTAGAGCTGGGTATGGTACAACGAAGTGACCTTCTGTTCCCATGAAGACATGCCATCCTCATTCAGTTCTGTTCCGTTCCCGCCAAACCCAGAGGTCCTATAACCCAAGGCGAGACCAATCAAGGCAAGGAGGACCATTTTGAAAAACAGAAGGAAAGCAAATAGTCGACGTGGTAAAGCAGCTGACCATCTCTGTCGTATTGTACAGACCCTTTTTGGCTGTGGAGGTGGGCTCTGTCCCAAGCGGAATGGCACCGCGCGGGAGAATACAGATACCCAGGGATAATCATTAAAGGAATGCAATGCTTTTGGTTGTCCTTTATTGACTCGAGCCATGAGGCAGTTGTTGACCGTGTAAGGATCAGGGCATGTCAGAAATGACTTGAGGGCATCACCAACTGTCAAGAATATTTCGGACCTCCGCTCGAGAGCAGTGACGAGCATGCATATTAGCTTCAACACAATACAGCCCATTACCACTAAGCCAATCGGTAAACTGCATCCAAGCTCACAGGTTGGTGTGACTGAGCGACTGAAGCAAGTATTTACCTGAAGCTCGTCGGTGTAAGTAATCGGAATTGTATATTCGCCATTGTATCCCTGAATTTTACAACCTAAACCTTCGTGAGAACTGCCGGTGGAGATCCTACCGCCGCTCAGTCCAACCTGACATGACCAAGCCATTAGTTTTGAGCCAAGATCTGGGGTCAAAACGACGACTGTTGTTCGGGCGGTTTGATACGCGCCACTGTAGGCTTCTAGACAATCGTGATTGTCAATTTCCTCGAGCGCATTCGATATGATATCATTATATAGGCTGCTCGCGTTCATGCCAACTATGCGGTGGAAGTCGGAAGGGACATCGAATTGAGACAAATCCGTGTATTCATTGCCAAACGCAATTGGTGCAGCAACAATTCCGAAATCATTGGCGGTGACTGATACGTATATGAAGGAATTATATCTGAAGACATGGCATATTAGCTAGAGCTCTCTTAATGGTCGCAGCGAGAGTCACACATCATCTGAACTGGCAAAGAGGTCCCAAGAATCAACAGCCATAATGTTTTACGCCACAAAGGCGCGTACCAGACGTTTGTAAAACTGGAGGATCCAATCGAAACCCATACGCGTTGAGAGTGGGCAATATCGATTCTTGCGCGCGACGGTGCAGCCAGAACTTGATTACAATAGCTGCTTGTGGCGCTCAAAGTCAAAACAATGATGTTAACAAGGATATGGAGACCGGTCGCGATTTGGTTTGCCTGGTGGCATGTACCTTCGTAGATAACGGCCGACGAGGAACCCCATCCATAGCCACCAGAAGCGGCTTTTGTGGCCAATTCGACTGTGAGAATAACGTGGGCGAGTAGCGCCAGCGCCACTCCCAATGCACAAAGTAGCAATCCAGTTATCCATTTTTTCTTGGCTGGGGGCAGTGGCGGGGGCGGTGGAGAACACTTCGAATCATTATCTACCGTGGCTTCATAGTCCGAGGTATCGCGTGCGTCGACGAGTTGGTATGCCTGCTGGTCTACAATAGAAGGCTGCCTAGAATGAGAGGCAATTTGTTAGTGGTAATTATAACACAGGCCAAGATGTGTTCAACACTCACTTGGAAGCTCGCAATGTGTGGAGTGGGATAGGTTCCTCTGCGTTAATCAAACGCTCCTCCTGAGAGACATGGAGGAGAGATGTCGAGGCATCACTCTTTCGCGAGCCCATCATTTTGTAAGGCCACAGGAACCATCGAGAAATGCTTAGAGCATATCTTTGGTTTTACCATACAATCTTAATTTGTGACGGCTGTGTTGGGGGCCAAACAAGCCTCATTCGGGAAAGTGGCTTATCCTCGGCTTTACGGTGTGGCTTAGCGGGTCCTAGATGCTTTTCCATGGTTGACCTGGATAAGGGTTTTAATAATTTACTTTGATTGGCCTGCATGTATCCACATGTACTCCACAGACCTGTCAAATGTGGAAACTGCGCCCCACAGGACCTCGGGAAATGCTTCCAACCTGAGAAAGTTATTATGTATCAGCCCGTTTAGTTATATGCATTGGAAACCACCATTAAGGCTGCAGATCTATCACCATGATGTGTCAACTATGAGCACTCTGTAAGCACGAGTGAGTGATCAGTTAGGGCTTGGTCTGGCAACGACAACATGAGATAATGAGATTGTAGGTATCGCCATATTAGTCGCACTGTATGGAAAATTCCATGAGGAATATGAGATGATAACATGTGACTCATGATCTGTTGGAAAGAGATCTACTGGTGATATCTATGTGCATGGTGAAAATTTGTGGTGAGATGCCCCGAATGTATTAGGGACGACACTTCACAGGATAGAAAATCGTCCAGGAACTAAGTAGGCAAATCTCTCTACATAAAAGTATACATAAAATGGGAACCAAACAGCGCTCAGATGTTTCATATGCGTCCTTCAGACTTCGACAGGTTATACAGCTACAAGGCCCGTAGTTGAAACATTTCAGACCTCGAAAAAAGCATACTAGTCAAACCATGGTTTGCAAACAGGAACAGAGAAGGCTAAGTCCCCATCGCTGTTTAGGGAATAGTTTTTCCATGGTGTTAGATCTGCTGAACTGTTTCCAGCCAGTCGATGTATTCGCCGCTCGAATCCAGTAGCCCCCACACCCATCCTTTGCGACGACAGCCACCGGTGCTATCGTGAGTTTCAATGGGTTGACAATCATAGGATTGATAAATATGACTGAGGCTTTTTCTCCATTAAGACTGGCGCCGGAGAAATCAAGACTTGTGTAATCGAATGTTGTCCAGTGAGACACCACCGAAAACCCTAGGTTTCCTGTGCCACGGAGTGCTAATGAGAGGGTCTTGGATATATGATCTTCTGAGAATCGAAGGCTCTGCCGGACGGATCCGCTAGATGTATATCGCAGTGTGGTGAGGCGTATATCCCGTGCAATCTCAGCAACTGACTCTTCTTTTAGCTGCTGGACGGAGAATTTGCACCGAAGGGCCAAAACACTACAACGGATGTAGTATGTTCCTGCCTTCGGGGGTTCAATAAAGCGGCGAAAGTTGGCAATCCCAAAGTAGTCGACTGGATCAGAGGATATAGCTGTAGATTGAGGGGAATACACGGATTTTAGATACCATGCAGCGATAACATCATTTCTTGTGAGTTGAATGTCAGGAGAACCATTCTTCAACTCTCCTTGTGACCATTTCCTCAATTCGTCGACCCATGCGCCTGGAATGTAGATAAACTTGTCCTTAAGAGCCTCACGGAATCCAAGCTTCATGGCAATGATCGCTACCAGCATGTGCCACATAAGCATTGCCAGCTTGAATATCCCACTGTCGTAGTTTTGTGCATGCATCTGGTAGTGGAAATTGGATTCAGTTTCCGTGCACTCATCTTTGACGTTCATCAGATCAGACATTCGGACATCTCCGGCGTCAGGCGGAAGAGCAAACAAAGGGATTGGCTTATTAGACAGTAGATCACAGAATGCTTTAACCACTTCCCAGCAATCATTGCCGTCACAAATATGGTGTGCGATTCCAAAAGTGAGCAGTGTAGCGTCTTGTAGGAGCGTAACACGAAGGCGGAAACTTGTCGCGAGGCTGACTGGGACATTGAATATGAATCTCTCCTCAACTTTGGATAATTCCGAGATTTTCATGATGTTTGGCCCATTAGTATATTCTTCGTGTTGTATTTGAAAATAGGTAGCCAGTGATTCATTGATCTCCCTGCTGGCGTAATCGACAGTAGACCCACAGGTGAAAGACCATGGTTTTGTCTAGAAAAAGATATAGTTAAGCAGGCCATAGTAGTGGCAAATAAACTCACGTCTTTGATTAAATTACCGCCCAGTATTGGCCATAATCTGACCAACTCTGTGAGCTTTCCCTTCAATATAGCTGAATCGAGTACGGCATTGACAACCAAGCCAGCATAGATGGTACTGTAACCTCCAAAAGAGCTAACACTCTTGCAAGTGTATTTCGAGCCTAATTTTGGATCCTCCATTTTCAGATTGAGGAGAGGTGGGAGAGGTAGGAAAAGGGGTCAAAAACGATATGGAACAAGGATGAGGTAGAACAAGGATGAGAACCTTTCCTCTATTATGTGACCGCAATACATATACTCGTGACGTCCTCGGGCACCTAGGTGGCTTAGGTTTTAAGTGTTAGTGCGACGCAAAGCAGCGATATAATCGGAGTAAATATAAAAATAAATGATATTACAGATTTGAGTTCATGGAAGGATTGCCCATTTTGGAAGAGATATACGTACTACAGTGCTCAATGACACCGCTACTCCGGTACGAAGTAGATAGAGTGCTAGATGTACGATATAAACATACCTTTACCACTCGTCAGCAAACAGTATTGCATATGCACGCTAGTAGTAAATACTTTTATTTCCACGGCATACAATAAGGCCAAATATGAGATTCGCCTTAACTAAAATAATTCTTATGGACTCCGTATTGGTATTACTATGCACTAATGCAGGCTGCATTCTCAGGTCACTTTGAGTTACCCTGTAAGATTATATGATATGTCGAGTGTACACCGTACATTGTAGTACGCATTAGGAGTGCAAGGGACCTGTAATCGTGGCACCACTAACAATATAGTCTGCACCCTGTGTCGGTGTCCTTGCCATCATAATCCCTTTTGAGCCCATTTCTCTTCCATTCTTGAATTTCTTCCTATCAGAATGTCTCCAAACCAAGACGCCCAATATTCACATATGCCAAATATGATATTCAAGCTCTGTGCCACCAAGCCAGCGCGCTACGGCAGGGTATTGCATGTTCTTGCAATCCAAATCAACGTTCTGCCACAGGGAATTCCAACTGGGCTATCTTTCTTACCCTTGAAGATGGGGCCCGATGGGTCTTTCGATCCCCACACCCTAGATCCTTTATGCCAGTATAGATGGGAATAAAGTTGCTATCAAGCGAAGCTTCCACGCTGCGATACATCAGGGCTCATAGTGATATTCTAGTTCTAGAAGTATACAACTATTGGTAAACGCTATCTTATATCATGCTTTATTCTAGTGCCGATCTATTAAAGCGCTTTGTCCAATAATAAAATTGTAATTCCGTACACCTTTATGAGCGAAGTGTCTGGCCAACCGTTGTCGAATGCTTGGAAACCAGCCGGTTGTTACCTACCTGGCCTAGAGACTGCTAAAAAGGCCAAATTTCTATCGTAGTTGGGTGCCATTACCTGGAAACCTTCACGGTTGCGATTCGATAAAATTGGCTTACTGTTCGAAGAAACTTAATCTTTCGAAATCAAAGAACGTCTCTCGCGTGGTCATATGTTGTATACCCTATAGCCAAGGAAGTTTCCATGCTGTATGGTGCCAAGGTATTATGTGTGTATAGACCCACATAATACCGGCCAATGAAAGACCGCACACTCTCGGTTTCGACCACGACATCCACGAGTGGATACCGTCACGTGAAGTCTCGAAAGCATAATAGCCAATTAAACTGATATCAAAGACCCATACCCCTGAAACCTCAGTATTGCATCTGTAAGATTAAAAAAAATATGGGTATGTTCTCTTTGGTTGAGCGTATCATCCTTAGTGCAGGGGCCAGCTAATCTTTTCTGTATATTTTCAGATTGACCATATGCCCCGAAGGGCGAAGGGACATCCTTAAAGTTTAATAATAACCACCTCATGGTTGATAAGGAAGGATGGAAAGAGCCACGTGATGCGCCTGGTCAACCGTTCCTTCCAAATACACGGTTATACAATTTTCCAGGGCTCCAGGCACATGTGGATCATCTAAATTGCATAACTTCATGGTACCGTTCACCTGACATGAGGTCCTCGGAAACTAATAGAGGCGATATCGCGTTTAGTCTCAATCTATCACAAAACATAATATAGATGCCAATTAAAGATGACAAGAATTGGGCCGCATAAGTGTCTTTCAGTGGTCTTCTCAAATATCATTCTGCGTAGATGCCTTGTCAAGTTTATAGGTCGACGGCAAAAAAAGGCGGATAGGAGCTAAATTTGTGCAATGGGCATTTCTAAGTATAACCTTTGATATTCAACCGCAACATTACAGGTACAGCGTATACCAGTAACCCAGAATAGTAAATGACACTGCAGACATGGGATTTGGCAAGTTTCCAGAACCGATCGCCGGATTTTCCTCTTAAGGCTGATCCGCTCGGCCAACCTGCCTTGATGGTCAGCTCGGGTGTCAATATTCCGATCTCCCCTGGATCTCGGAGAAGAGGCCGGGGTCACTGATTCTGGGCGACTCCACGTGGACATTGCCTTCTTCCTACTCCACGTTTCCCAACTGCCCCTCGCTCGGAGACACGCCGGGAAGCTCGGCTCAGTTGCCTATGGCAGGAATATCCGGCAAAATGGGAATTGAGGGGAAGACGGAGGGTATAAGAACTGTCAGGATCCACAATTGATGCAGAGGTTTATCTTTGCATCGCTACCTGAACTACACTGCCATAAAGCCCATTGAGTTGGAGAGTGAGCAAATCCGTCGAACCGTCTTGAAGATGGCAACAACATTAACCGGTGGAAATCCACACATCATCCAACTGCCAACGACACCCTCCGACGTATCTTCCGACCCTCAAAGCGTCGCTCAGAAATGGCTCTCGGATCTCGAAGCTCAGCTCTCTGGTTCAGAAGACTTGAACATCAAGGAGCTATTCCATGATGATTCCTGGTGGCGCGATATGTTGGCGTTGGACTGGGATATGCGCACCGTACATACAGCCACTGAAATTCAGAACTTCCTATCCAAGCAACAGACCAAGGCACAACTCTCCAGGTTCAAGCTCCAGGATACGGGCAAGTTTCAGCCACGTCTGGAGCAGGTTGTCGACGGGCTGAGCTGGGTGTCTTCCATGTTCTTCTTCGAGACTGCCATTGGTACTGGAACGGGCATGCTGCGTCTGACGCAGGCGGCGGATGGGGCTTGGAAGGCTTATGCTATGTATACATCATTGCAGGAGCTCAGTTCGGCTCTAGAACCACTCGGGAAACGTCGGGCTGAGGGAACGACCGAGTCGATGCCTGGTGGTCTAGCTGGTGGCACATGGATTGAGCGCAGGAATCGACAGAAGGAGTTTTTGGATGAGGAGCCCGCTACTTTGGTTGTTGGGGCCGGTAAGGAATTCTTTCGTTAAAATGAGCGTTCCTATGATTTGGATGCTAACCAGTCAACAGGCCAAGCTGGATTAAATATGGGTGCGCGTCTGCAGAGCCTCGGCGTGTCATGCTTGATTGTCGATAAGAGCGAGCGCGTGGGAGATAATTGGCGTAATCGGTACCGGGTACGCGATATGAGAGGAACATGCTCTATTATATGGAGAGATATACTAATTTCTCGCGCAGACACTTGTCACGCACGACCCAGCTGAGTACACACACATGGCCTATCTGCCATTCCCACAGAACTGGCCACAGTTTACGCCGAAAGACAAGCTGGGTGACTGGTTTGAAGCCTACGCCAGTATCATGGAGTTGAATATTTGGATGCAGACCTCTATCGTCTCAGCAGAGTATGACGAAGCTGGAGGCCAGTGGACGGTTGTCCTCGCTCGTGGTGATGGGTCCCAACGCATCGTCCGGCCTCGTCACCTTGTATGGTGTACAGGACACTCAGGCGAGGCGAAAATTCCTTTCTTCCCGGGACAAGAATCGTTCCAGGGCACGGTATACCACGGCAGCCAGCACCGCGATGCATCGGAAAGCGATGTCCGCGGTAAGAAGGTTATTGTCGTCGGTACTGGTAACAGTGGGCACGATATCGCGCAGAACTATTATGAGAATGGTGCAGATGTTACTATGCTGCAGCGCAGCGGGACATATGTTATAACTGCCGAGAAGGGTGTGTTTATGATGCACAGTGGATTGCATGAGGATGGCGGGTGTGTTTCCAAATTCCTTTCCATTTCTTTCTTATCCCTTCTCCCTCTGATTCACACCATACTAATATTGTCAACCGTGTAGTCCCCCAACTGAACAATGTGACATCGTCTCCGAGAGTCTCCCCTGGCCTGTCCAATTCGCTTTGGGTGCACATATGACGAAGGACATTGCCAACGCCGAGAAGGAGACACTTGACGGACTCCGTCGGGCTGGCTTCGAACTGGATTTCGGGATAGACGGGGCTGGTATTACCCGCGCATACTTTACCCGCGGCGGCGGGTATTATATCGATGTCGGATGCAGCCAGCTTATCATCGACGGCAAGATCAAAGTCAAACACAGCCCGGACGGTATCAACGGCTTTGGAAATCGCGAGCTGCTCTTGGCGAATGGTGATTCCCTCCCAGCGGACGTTGTTGTCCTTGCCACTGGATACGATAATATGCGCACGACAGTCAGAAAGGTCTTGGGTGACAAGGTTGCGGACCGGTGTTCGGATGTTTGGGATCTGGATGCAGAAGGAGAGCTTCAAGCTGTAAGCTCCCGTTTACTCGATGATACTTTTGAACTCCATGCTAATTACACTTTTAAGATGTGGCGCCCCAGTGGTCATCCGGGCTTCTGGTACTTTGGTGGAAACCTCGCATTGTGCCGGATCTACTCTAAGTTTTTGGCACTTCAGATCAAGGCTGTCGAAGCTGGAATATCCAGCGGAGTACGGCAGTAAATAAAAAGAGGAACTTCGACCATACTTCTGCAATTGTCTGAATTGCAGATTGCATTGTATGTATCAATTTATGCGATACAAGAATAGTGGGCCGCATAAACGGCCTTGCTATGTCTTTTCAGTGGTCTTTCCGTCATTCAAAAATACAGCAAAGCATTTCCATCCACCCCAAGCTCATCGACAAAAAACCCAAACCCAAAGAGCCATACATAAAACAAGAAGCTGCTGCTGTCCTTGGAAAGAAGCTGCCGCACTAAGATGAGGATTATATTTGGGCAGATTACAGTAATTTGACTGGATCCCCGTGTCCGGAATCTCTTTTTTCTGGCAAAGAGTAAAGTTGCCCTGCAACCAGCGACTCGCCTCATTATTGAGTGCGCCTGGCTCAGGCAGACCTTGGAAAAATGGATCGGGTATCTCGCACCACTGGGCATTTTGGGATTCCGTTTTGACGGGATTCGGTGAACAGCATGCTGTCAGGGCTTTGGTTTGATTTTTGCCCGCGGCGCCATCTTCGATATAGTACATGCAGTAGTTGGTTGAGGCTTGCGTTGCCTTTGGGAGCGTGGGGAGAGTTTGGGGTTGATCCATGTTTTCTAATGTAATGTAAGTAATGCCCAGATGATCATTCCTGGGATTCATCATACCTTTACTTTGTCGTGGTAGTTATGGGTACTATGGCTCTGGGGTAGTGCGTGTTTGTAGATTCGTGAAAATCTGGGGAAGTTATTCCTGGGGTGTCAGCAGATATAACCTCCAAGCTCAGGGGCTCTATCTTGGCAAGGCGCATGGAGTGCGAAGAGGCTGTGGTAGGATTTCAGCCGCTAGCCCCCAATCTCACCCGCTGATCGCGGCCAAAGCATGCCTTTAGTATTGAAACCTGAACTATTCCTTATATATCCTTGCCGACGGACTGAGCAACATCAAAAATTTGGCAAAATATCCATTCCTTTGCTATTCAACACTTGCAGGTATAAAGTCAATGTTTCGCAAGCCCATGTTTCCCACGACATTATCGATAAAGGACAGCATCACAAATCTCGCAAATCGAGTGACGCAGCCCAAAGAAAACAGCGACTCATGGATGCTCCATCCGTCAGGTTTCCCAGTACGCCGAAATACCGTTACTATGTAAATTAAAGCATGTTGCATCTCCTAACTTATACAACTGCTCAATTTGAGTCAGGTGCTTGGTTATATACACGAAATAGGGTCGCCAGGTACATTTCGACAATCCATCATGCCCCAAACGGCGTGTCGTACCACAATAACCTCTCAGCTTCTAGCTCCTCCTCATATGTATCTCCCACGAATGCATCATGAATGAGACCTAGTATTTCTGGGGATGTGTGCACGCCATAAAACAGCTTCGTAAACTCCCAGTACTCAGGATAGAAGCCGGCGCATTCCCAGTCCACAATGCCAGACAGGCGTCCACGATCAATGATAATATTTCTGGGATGTATGTCCGCATGCGTGAACACAGACCGGTATTGACGCGCATGGACGGTTGCGACTTTTTCCCTTGTCTCGCTGAGTACGTGTCTGTGGACGAGGAAGGAATTGAAATCAGAAATCAGGCGGAACGGACCACATACGCCGGAGGGGAAACGATAATCGAACAGCGGGCCGCCATGACAATCGCTAAAGTGGTACGAGCTCTGATTTGGAATAGAGCGGAGTTGTGATAAGGCATTCTTCAGGTCTTTCGACAGTTGCTTGCGCTCAGGGTATGAGAGTCGGTGAAAAACCATATCCAGCGTGTCTCCAGGCATGGCTGTCATGATAAGAACGCGGCGTATGCCCTGATAATCATCTATCCAAAGGGGTGCGGGGATCGAAGTATACCGTTCCACGAGCCTGAGTGTCTCTCCTTCATTAGGAGTGCGAGTGGATTCTTTTGCATACAATCCGAACGGTAACCGGTGCACGAGGCCGGTGGAATACTGCGGGTATAGGTGACTGCCTAACTTTATGAGCGCGCCATAACACTGCACGCGTATAAAGTGAGGAATGAGATGCCAGACCGAGCGCAATATCTTCTGGGTCGCTATGTTCAAGTGGACTATCCCAAGGAACCAAATTAGCATTAGAGGTCTAAGCAACGGAATTATTTGTACCATACACAACGGGGGCGAAGGCCAGCCATCGGCGATTCGTTCTTCAACATGAAATAGATGTAAAGAAGCTGCGATGCGGTAATGCGTTCGCAACAAAAATGGATCTGGGAGAGGCTGATTCGTGCCTTGGCTCTCCATGATAAACATTTGCATTGTTGAGTCCCAGTGGCTACCATCGCTAAGGAACAGCTCACCACAAGGCTCAGGGAACAGTCTAGACACAAAATACTGACACATAGTCAGTTGGACGTACTACCGGACGGGTAAGATTCCAAGAAGTATTGACGTAAACTTCACTGGCGGTTTTGATTCTGATCTCGGTTTCATCATTCCACTGGTCAGGGGTATTAGTTGCTGGAAATATTTGAACGTGCCCATTTCGAAAAGCCGAATGTATACTAGGGGAGAGTAAGAAAATATTTTTGAGTTGATATTCCAGTTTGTTAGTGCGCAAAATGGTCTGAAGCTCAGAGGTTTTAGCAGGCGTCAAAAATGCCCGGAGAAGGGGATAGAGAGAACCCTATAAGAGTTTCCGACATTGTTAGATTTCCGATTCTCAACTTGGCTTAGAAACGCTCAATAAACACCTACCTGCGGATCCATGTCACTGTCATCAAAAAGGCTCGGAGGGATGACCCAGGCATGATCGAACCGAACGGATACGTTGGGGTCCAATGGCTTCTGATCCAACATAAAACAGTGTGAATCGTCTCGCGCTTCAACTAGCGCGCATGCTTGAGACGAGACCTGGTCTTGTTTGACCACTGATTTTATGGTTGGCGGGGACACGGCAGCCACTGGGGACGGACGCCCCGCTTCGACTGACACTTCGTGGCCAGTCGCTTCCAGTCAATTTTCAACTCATGCAGGACCTGTTCTGTAGAGCAATCGGTGCGATCATGAATCCTTTTCCAGATATAGCAAGCAGCATGCCCCGGATCGACGGCCTCATCTAGGAAAGCTCTCCAGATCGCATGGTCGGTGGATGTGAGCGAGGCAGATTTGATGAGCCGGGTAGTTGCGTGATACCTCGCTAGTGGAGCCATTCTTAATGAGCGAGGAGTTTCTGTATCAGGATATCGAGTTTATTTCTTTGTTCTTTACGTCACATTAGCAGAGATAATCAAAATATATATGGACTTTTCTGCTAGCAGAGTATTATGTAATATGTGGGAAGCACCTAGGCAGCCCTGGAAGTAGAGCTCCGCAAAGCCCATAAATGGGTCTAAAGCTCCAACTCAACCCCGGCCCCCTTTAAAGCCCGTCTCGTACTAATAAATTGGCCTCTGTAATTATGACCTTCTACTGATAGTATCAAGTTCAAACATAGATATCAAATTATTGTAGCTGTATAAGTATGTATTTTAATTTTAAACTGAATATAATCGGAGGAAGACAAGATATTGCGGAAAATGTGCTAAATATCAAATATCAAATAGAGAAACCACCGTAGGCTTTCACTCCAGGCCCATAGCCCACCAGTGGGCCCAAAGATAGACCTAAAACCCAACCCATTAGTGGGTTGGGTTAGGCTGGGCTTTGGGGCTTTGCGAAGGTCTACCTGGAGGTGCCCACCCAGGAGTATAATGCTCGCGAATGTGATGATTCTTTCATTTGTAAATGAGAAATAGGATAGTAGCTGGCACCTATTCAGAGAAATTATTTGTTGTTAATTAGGGAATAAAAGGGAAGTCCGAGAACAGGTGAAATTGCGAAAGGTCAGGTGAAATGATGCTTGATAATATATCTACATTGAGTTCCAATAACTGGCATAAGAAAAAGCCAACCGCAAGGCTGGCAAACTGAGGCTAAGTCGGAGACTATGGAAGGAGCAACCCTGTTACTAAATAATCTTCTCCACGACCTTGTGGTCCGGTCCTCCCTCAAGTTTATCTGCCCAGAAATCTGTCATTCCGTCCTAAGGCGGAATTGGGTGAATATTCTTTCGTGCTTGAAATGAGGTGCAATTTGTGAAAAGTTTGAATTTCTTTCTTCTCACGAGGCGTTGTTGTTGGCCTTCCTAAAGGAGAAAAGCTAGCCGGACACGTGACCGGTGTTTTCGGTAACCGGCTAACATATCCCTATCAGGAAGTTGGCAGGCATTAGGACTTAGCCACAGTTTACGATCGATACACATCGGCAGATCTTTGCCAACTGGAACCAAATATTTGCTCTCCCAATAAAGGTTTTGGCTGGCTGGTGTTCTGTTTTTGGAATCGCATGAAGGAGCGGCCATCATGAGTGAAAGAGGGTCGGAAATCGTCTACCGAGCTGAAAATGTCCCGATTCGCTTTTTTAAAGCATGCCGATGGTGCAGAAGACAAAAGATGCGATGTGATGCGCGTAGCCAAGTCCCTTGCTTCCGCTGTCGCTCTACCGGCCGGGACTGCATCTTGGACCCCATCGATGATGGCCGACGACGAAGCGATCGTCGGCGGAAAACGACTACCCCCGCAAGGTGACAATTGAGATATCGATATTACATGTGAAAGCAACCAGCTGATATTCTGTCAAAGAAACCATACTGCTTCACCGCTAGATCCTAGAACTGGATATCACACTCCAGCATCAAGAGATCAGGGGTTCTCACCTGCCACCGTACAAGATGGTGGTTTTGACACTTCAATTGACTCTTTACCCAGTTCTACTGGATTAAATAGCCTCCAGCGGTCTTACACGTCTGATGCGAATGGACCGGAGTCTCAACAGCTCAGCCCTAATGAAATGATCGCGCCTGCATCAGCAGTACACTCGATGTCTGTGAATTTGCTAGGTAGTAATGATGTGAGTTACTATCAAATCACTCAAACAATTAGCATCGATTTAACAGACCAAGATTTTTATGGAAAATTCAACTAAGGGTGACCCCAGAGGAGATGTCGTCGCCAGAGGAATCGTTAGTGAGGAGCTTGCTCGTGTCATGTATGAGAGGTATAGAACTCACAGCCAAATGGAATTTCACTATCATAAGCAAATCTAACTTAACTACAGGTTTACAGGTGGATCAAAAAACTTTCTTCCCCTTTTTGATCCGATTAGAGACACATTCGACTCTGTCCGTTCAAGATCCTTGTTTTGCTTTACGGTGATTATCTATCTGGCTAGTCGCGCAGTGACAGATCTGCGCGGAGACACACATATGCAGCGCGTTCTCCAAGATGAAGCACAGCGTTTGGCCGAAGACAGCTTCTTCGAGCGGCCTACGAAACTGGAAACAGTACAAGGAATGATTCTGCTGGCTGCTTACTCCGAGAAAACATGGTTCTCAATTGCTCTCATTCTTCGCACCGCGTTGGATTCTGGATTGGAGAAATCTTTAGACACTTTGCTGTCCCAAGAAAATGTCCCCCGAAGTTCGCTCTCGGCTTCGATGGCTGATCGTGAATTGGTATGGCAGACAAGGACCTGGTTAATCAGTTTTACATTGGAGTTGGACGTCGCATCTGGTACGGGACGAAAATCACGCATTGCCGAGGTCGATGTAGTAAAGCTGCGCAGATTCCTTGACTATCCACTCTCTCTGCCTTGTGATATGCGGACTGTGTGTATCATTGAGCTTCATCAACTGCGAGGTAAAATGCAAAACTGTGGTGCGATTCGTCTAACCAATGACTAACATATGACAGGTAATTCTCGTATGATCATTGATAATACTTCAACTATAGGCGATATTGTGTCTACAGAACTACCGGCCATTATGACAAGATTGCAAAACTGGTGGACGACATGGGATGAAATCCATGAAAGTAGGCTGCCATCTCTCGCGTTGAATGCACGCTCGGTCTGGATCAATTACTGACTTGAACAAACCACGAAGACAATGGTTTCCATATAGGGGCCTTTCAACGCAGCAGTCTCAAGCTTATGCTTCACTATGCCAGGATCTTTGTCTTCTGTGCTTCCTTAGCACGGATTCAAAAGTTACAACCCACGTACGCGGATTCAAACTCTGAAATCCTCGACCAGAATGTGATGGGCCTGTGGCAGTCCCTTGTTACAACCATCATGGACCAATTAAGCTTTTTGATCAACGAGCCATCCTATCGTTGTCAATTACCCTGGGCGCCAACGTATCCAGCTCTCACAATCGCCTTCGTCAGTAAGTTGATCATTTCCTCAATCAGCTACATACATCCAACTTGCTAATACAAATATTTAGCAACATTCGCTCTTCGTATCGCCAGATGGCGTCCGAATCTGATCAATCAAAGTCTTTTACTTGAAAGAGCAGAAAGAATCTGTGACTTCCTCAAACAGCCCCCATATCCCGATATCCACCGGACTGTCTCCATCTTCGTGAACTACGCACGAGCCTTGATAGCGAGTCAGCGTCCGCAGAGCAACCATAGTACTGATGTACCCATCATGCCTGACCAAGGCGAGGGCCCACCCTTCGAGGGACCTGATAATCCCATGATCAACGGCCCGCCTCCATCGGGGGTGGGTCCCCTCGACGATCTCCGCTATAGAACCGGCCCGACCATTCAGGCTGATAAAGATTCAAATATGGTCTCAATGCCAAGTAGTGACCCATCTGCAGCGGCCAGAGCGCCCGTATCTCGGCTATCCGGCACGATGGAGGCACCCAACTGGACTGTTTCGAATTCCATTGCAGATTCATTTGGTCTGTTTGAGGAGGGGCAGAACGATATCTTCGATTTCTTGCCTATGATGCCATCGATGCCACAGTAACAATAATATACCTAATAGACCTTACTGAAGCTAAGATCATTCTAATTAAACTGTCTAAACTGAGTAGAACGCGCAAGGACGAAAATGTTATAGCCTAGATCAACGTTGATACTCCAACAAATTGGGCCGCCACGCGCAACGCAGTATGTTTTCTTTATTCATATGTATTTAGTCACACCAGTCTAGATGCATCTCCAACGAAAAACTGTATCCTTAGCAATCAATTTGTGCATCCGGGGCAGTCATCCATGTCCGGGTCCAACTCGGCACCGTGAGTGGATTGCCCTAACACCCGGCCCCGTACCGGCCCCGGTTTCCCGTGCAAAAATCTTGAAGTATAGGAGTCTCCCATTGGCTTGTTACCTACTCCAACGAAGAAGATAGAGGCATTATGCAAGACGAACAGGTTCTAGCCACAGTGAGTCAAGGAATCGACAAGATTTTCCTCTCTAGGCCGGCCGGTTGCAATGGGAACGGAAAACTTTTGTATAGCATATATAGTGCTTCAATCCTCATCTAGAGTTTTTAAGAATAAACACAATACTTCTAATCTTCCTTTTTGTTCTAGCTTACCCCACTCATTTGATGCAATATGGCGTCAGAAACAAAATCTTTAACGGCTCAGATCACAGCCATCCTTTCTTCAGGTGTGATCAACTTCCACTTGATATTCTCCGGTTTGCACTAACATATACTAGACAAGGATAGAAGTGCTGATAAGAGGTCCCTTGCTTCAACGGAGAATAATCAAAAGTCAAATGGTGATTACCAAATAGTTGAACGGTCTCAAGATGAACTACTTGTCGAGTTTCAGGAGAACTCACCGAGAAACCCACCAAACTGGGCCTTTGTACGCACATCTTTATCTCACGATATATCATCATCTACTAACAAACTAATAGAAGAAAAAGTTGTACAATGCTATTGTGTCACTATTTATTGTTCTTAATAGCGGCATATCAGCCGCACTTCCTAGCAATGCAGTCCCCACTATCCTGCAGGAGTTCCACCAGTCCGGGGGCCAGCAAAAGGTCTTACCAACCGCCGTTTTCCTTGTTGGCTATGTAGTTGGCCCTCTACTATTCAGTCCAATGAGTGAAATCATCGGACGGAAACCCGTTCTCGTCTGGTCCTTCTCTGTTTTCGTCCTCGCTACGCTTGGCTGTGCTCTAGCGCCAAACTGGGCATCTCTTCTCGTCTTTCGGACAATCTGTGGTCTAGCAGGGGCTGCGCCTCAGACCGTTGTTGGTGGTATTTATGCGGACTTGTTCTTTGATAGGCGAACTCGTGGTCGTGCGATGGCAATGTATATGTCGGTATGTGGCCAATTACCTCTGGTGGAATGTTTGGATAGTACTGATATATCTCTTAGGCTTGCAGTTTCGGTCCCATTCTAGGCCCGATCATATCTGGATGCTCGATCAAATATGGTTGGCGATGGACTTTTAGGATCGACGTGATCCTGACAGGTGTTACCTGGTTGGCTTTGCTTTTCACGTCTGGTATGCTTATCACTTTGCCTAACGGACTGTGTCATCAGCTAATCTTCGTTTAAAATAGAAACCTTCGGCCCGGCACTTCTGAAGCAACAAGCTGCCAAATTGAGAAAGGATACAGGATCTAATCGGTATTTCTCACGCGAGGAGCTTAACCTCGACTCGAGATTCACTCCAATGGAGATTATCACTCGCCCCGTCACGATGCTCTTCTTTGAGCCTATCATCACCTCAACATCTATCTATATCGCTATCGCATGGAGTCTGGTCTTCTTTTATTTCCAAGCTTATCCCATTATCTTTGGAGGTAACGAATGCTCCAGCTAATATCCCAATCTACAATACTAATATATTGACAGGTGTCTATGGTTTCACCGTCGAACAAACTTCCCTTACACTCATCCCAAGTACGTCCACCTTCTTTCATCACTTCCAACCATATCTAACCCATCACAGTTGGTGTCGGCGCCGCATCCTCCGGCTTTGTCGCCCTCTACTATGACATGATCTACGAAAAAGCCAAAAAGCTCAACAAAGCCTGGACCTCCGGCCCAGAAGTGCACCGACTCCCCCTATCCTGCATCGCTGGACCCTGTCTAACAATAAGCATGTTTTGGCTTGCCTGGTCAGCAAAATCAACCCTGCACTGGGCCGCACCCGCGATGTCAGGATTCATCTTCGGGTTCGGATTCCAAAGCATCTTCATTTCGCTTCTTACCTACGTCACCGACGCATACAAAATCTATTCCGCCAGTGCGCTTGCAGCTTCAGTTATTCTGCGCAGCATTTCTGGAGCGCTTTTCCCGCTTGCCGCTGAGCCGCTGTATGAGTCTTTCGGAGTTGCTTGGGCGACTTCCCTCATTGGGTTTATTAGTCTGGCTTGTGTTCCTATTCCGTTTGCTTTGATGCGATGGGGTCCTTGGATTCGGGAGAGAAGTCCATTCTGCCAGAGGTTGATTTTGGAGGAGAAACTCAGGGCTAGTGGAGCGAGTACACCGCAGGTATAGTTGCTTTTTTCATTGAAATCTCGGGCTGGTTTATCAGAAAATAATTTGGGACGAAATAATGACTTGATATCTAATTTATAATGAAGTTTATGATTTCTCAATTACTACTCCGTACTCTGTATATAGATTCTCCGTGGTATATATTACATGAATATATACTCTCCTTAATATTTCCCCCTTTTACTGAGAGATCGCATGATCTAAAGGGGCCAACCAATGAAACTACAATAAAGAAATGAAATACTCTAGAAGCCAAACCCCATTGAGATGTAGTATCAAACTAGTATGCAATGACTTGGGCGCTAAATTGAAACTTCACCAACCAGAACGTCCAGTTGCCTGGCGGCTTTTGAAATGATCTCGCCTCTCCACTTTCAAAATCTCAGTTGAATTTCTTGATCTTTTTGATCTTCTTGATCTTACATTTCATTTGCAATGTTGTATTCACATATTCTCTCTGAAGGCACTTCAGTGACTATCGCTCATTGCAAGGCACAAAACTTGCCCGTCGGTGCGTTGATACCCCACCAATTCTCCATCAGGAACTAACACGCCGATCAAGTCGATCGCATTCTTGAGCCTCAAACCATCGCACATTTTTTAGGATTTGTATTTGGCAAACAGCCCCTACCCAATGGTAATTTACCAGATATCGAACGCCTGTCCCAAGATGAAGCCTCCTTCATCGAAGACAAAAACTTTCCCCCGGGCACCGATGGCGAACCCATCATGGCCAGTGTCATGTCCCGAATTGGATCCATACAAGATGGCAATCGTCTCTGTCTGGTCGGAAAGAACATTCAATATCTCAAATCCCGTTTATGGGAGGGTATCATCCCCCTGAACGACCAAGTATGGAAGGAGAAAGGCCTCGACCGGCCAGAACATTTCGATTTCGCTTGTCAGCATCTATCAGCCGTGATCGCCGTATTTCAGTATTTGAATGAACCAACGGTGCGATTACACCTTCGCGACACCTTCAATTACATTTACGACCATTGGGCTGCTCTCGACACTTATCTCAACAAGCGCAGAGAGGAACAAAATAAAAAGCCTGTTAGTGTCGCGGCTCTCTGGACAATGTTCATGTCTGCGCAATTCGAGATGATGAGCGAGCGCGCCCATAGATGGGTTACAGTGCATGTCAATACACTGCGCGCTCCGTTGTTGCGAGCCCTTAGGGAGTACCAGCCAGTCGTGGAAGATCTGACTGGCGAACCAGATGCTATGCAATGGAAGATTAGTGATTCGCTGCATATGTTGACTGAAATCACCGCGAATGCGGATTTTACCATCATGATTCCCATGAACGGTTATAAGGGGCACTTTGCGGATCCCCCGCGGGCGGGTCCGGCGTCACTTCATGCAGCGAATTTGCTGACGAGAAGTAAAGCATACCATGAGCGTTTGAAGCTGCTTAGTCGAGAAGCGATCTCTCGTAATGCTAGTGTGTGGAGAGGTGTAATCCCTACGTCTGGACAGATGTATCATTCGACATGCTCCGGCCAGATTGAAGGCCAGAACAAATTGAGGAAAGAGGTGCGTGGTGCACCTATCGAGCCTGTGCCGCGCGAACCTTGGATTGCTGGCTGCGCTTTGGTAATGGAAAATGGACAGAAGGACGGAAAGGAGGGAAAATACGGGTTTGCTGTGTATCGGTTGACATATGGGCAAACGGAGTCTGAATGGGCTGAATTCGTTCGCAAAGTGGAAGCCCATGTCTCGGATTGGGGCAAAGGCCAAACAGGAAGCAGTGCTATCAAGGAGAATTTAAAGCTTCACTGGCTGGATGGGAAGGAATTTGGTATTTCAGAGGGCGATGTCGATGCAGCTAAGCAGTGGGTGTGCCCTTTCCCTCTTGCATTTCGAAGCTAACAAACCAGACACTTCAAAAACGAAATAAAAGACAGTGACCGCTGGTCAAATCTACAAGATGAAGCTTTCCTCGTCGTTGACTCCGCATCTTTCGCCTCATATACCACAGATTCCTACAGCCCCGCGACATCCAGGTTCATCCCCGGTGATTTCACCGGCTTCCTCCTCGCCATTGATCCAACCTTCGACCCGAAGGAGGGTATTGAACGACCTGACGAGTCACCAGGCTACTACGGTCAGATGCGAATTCTCGGAAGCCTTGTGTGGAGCGATCTCTATTCCCTACTTTCAGCACAGACATTCCTGCTGGAAGACTACTGGCCATTAGCAAGCGAGCACCCGAACATGGTATATGTCGGCCCAACAATCCCATGGCAACGATTCATCTGGCAGAATCACAATGAGACGCGTTGGATCCTCATTCGAGCGGTGATAGACTTTTTAAAGCTCAACCCGAAACTGCCAGCAATGCCACCTCCATCCCAAGCCCAAGATACGTCTTCAGTGACATCACCGCCGGCAGCTATATCTACAGACACACCGGAAACACCGTCTGTGCCCTCATCGACACCCGAACAACGGGATCCCCTCAACGCCGCACTCCGCGAATACATGCTCACGGAGTTTCAGCGCTACTTGCGTCATCAGGGTCAGCCGCGGTCGGCAGCTATGGTCACTGAATTAATCCGTCTTCAGCCAGGCGAGGAGCCTGATGGAGCGCGGCTGCGGCAGTTGGTGGACGATGAGAATGAGAGACAGGAGCAGCGGAGGCGAGATGGTTTGGGTGAAGATGACGAGGCTTCGACGGAGTATAACCCGGAATGCCCGTTGCAATAATCAGGGCTGGGTCTATTTAATTTTGGATATTTCTTCTAGGACGAAATCAATTGGGTCGCTGGCATAGATACAGAGACCGCTCGTGCCATATTGAATGAAATTATTTCCTGATTTGGAACATCAGCAGTGCTCGAATCATATCTCGGGCACAGAGAAAGATGCTAAATCAAACCCCCAACCCCGAACTCCAGTGACAAATTCCATTAACTTCATTGGAACTCACCGCAGATATCTCGCTTGCGAGGACGATCTTCCGGGTCGACAGCCTTGTGCCAACCAACCTGACACATATCCTCAGTCAAGTCCCTTCCACAGCAAGGATGGTAGAATCCATCAGGCCAAATCTCGCGATATTCCAGATTATCAACATCAAGTCCAGCGAAGATCTCCTCTTTGAAAAACTCCTCGTCGATAATATCGGGTTCTTCCCATAGATTAGTTATGTTCTAGCAATGTATTGACCTTGGGGGATATACGTACCAACATGATATTTGCAACTTGTCGCCGAGTTTTTAGTGACTTCGAACTCTCCCATGCAGTAGAGGCAAGTTTCGAAACGTGGTGTCATGGCCACAGGTGTCGAGATAGACTCTTCTTTGACCGGTGGGGTGTCAGTGACAGGAGTAGTAGATGTGGGGACAACTGGTACATTGTCTTTCACTGCTAGTAGCCATTTTGAGGCAATTTTGCGACCCTCGGGGCTATGCTTGACGATGTCTTGGAGGATACCCTGCAGGCGGTGGGCCGGTTGGCTGCGGATTACTTGTAGGAGGAGCGGTAGATTATCTGGTTGCTCGTAAGGTGAAGACATGTTGGCGGTGGTTCAATGATGTGTAAGGCTTAAGTCATGTAGGGGAAGAAAGAAGGTGAAGTACCGGTTTGGGTGTTTGTATTAGCTGAGATGAATCGCGTCGCATCCTGTCGTTATAGAACAAAGCAGAAGGAGCCGTGGAGGGGGCGGCAAACGCCATCCCATTATGGAAATTGTCATGTCTTTTCTTTGAGAAAATACCGCTTTTGAGTAGGACAAAAAGCTCAAAAGAAGGCATATATTCAGGGCATAAACATGTCTATGTGGTTCGTCGCAATCTATTATCTCCACCAGCTTTAATATGTACACACATTACTATTGACCCATACTAAGATGCCAGTATATCCAACACATCCTCAACCCAAGAGAGAAAGACTCTGGGCCAGGTTGTTCCAATCCGAAAAGTCAACAAAATTTGGATCCCAACTATCAATATCAAAGCCTGCCTCAAGTTGAGAGTTCCCAATCCGGAGCCCATCACCATATATAAGGCGACTTTCGTGTACAATTTGCTGACCCTGCTCAACAGAATCAAGCGCCTGACGAATCCGCCGCGCCTTATCCCGCAACTGCACAATCATCGGCCACTTAGGTCCCGGGTCCGGCCAAGAGGGATTATTAATGATATCAAACTGCATATCGATAATGCGCCAGGCTCGTTCAACATGTGGGCCGGTGGGATATGCACACAAACTCCAGAGAATGAATGTGAGGAGATGATACTGCGTGAAAGTCATCATGAGCCAGCGGAACCCGTGGAGTAACTCATTGGTGAGCATCTCGAATTGCATTTCCATTCCAATACAAGCTTGTGCCAGTGTATTTTGAACAAGGTTGTGGTCGAGTGAGGATGCCGCCGGTCCTTGTGACTGTAGCTGTTTCTGTCGAATGCATACTTCGGTCTTTGTGAGCAGAATCCATCCCAGGAGGAATCCGAAGCGTTGGATCGGAATATCTGGGTCGCTGTGGCGCAGGTATTTCTCCTCTATTGCGCCTTTGAATTCGGCGATGAGTCGGTCTGGGTCAGATGCTCCCACTAAACTTCGAAGTAAAGCTGGCCGTCCCCTATTAATTTCTATTGGGATTAGAGAGAAGGTCATCTCGGTCCATTGGTTCTGTGATACGGCTGAAGCGATCTTCGTCTCTGATATGCTTTGGTCGTCGATATTCAGTGGGACGTCTGTGTCGCCGTGGTCGTTGTCCGGAACGCTGAGCCCATGGTCTTCTGCCACTCGGATATCGGCCGATTGGATATGCCACCAGGTTCGTCGGCGTAGCTCGCATTCTAACTGTGGCAGTTTGAGGTATTTTCCGTCGCGCTGGAGGCCAATTGATTGCGCGGCTCGGATAGTTACGCCATGTAATGTCCAGCCAGATCGGCCGCTATTGCTAAATCGAAAGCATGACTAAAGAGCAACGGTCAGTGATACCAAGCAGAGGCACTAAAGGCACTTAAAGAAACATTCTCTCACCTGATATATAACCATCGCTTGCAAGGAAGTAAGGGTCGGAGCATCCAAAAAGTCGGAGTGATATAAAGACAATTCCAAGCCTTGCTGAAACCGTCGCAAATCGGCAAACAAGACTTCATTCTGAGTATCCTCCGAAAGCAAGGTTGTTGTAGCGGCAAAGCAAATCGCACAGAGCAAAGCACGTACATCAGCACCCACACTCTCAGGTCGATTAATAGCAGCAAAGATGCGTGATTGCGCCGTTGGAACATGAATGACCTTTATCAAGGGATCTACACGATTGATAAATGCCTCCCAGAGCGAAACTGCCTGCCAACGACTCGGAAATAGCTTTCGGGCGTCAATCTCGCCCAAGAGCGGGTTCGAGAAGAGGCCATCTGCCCTTAATACAGGTGGTCGACGCGGACTCCTTGCATCAACAGGTGACCCAATTGCGGACTGCAGCTCTTTCTCTTTCTCCAGAACCTGTGAGAGAAGAGGCTCGTTGATATACCGACCGTCTTTGCCGAGAAACCCCTGGTCTGCTGCAGCTGAATTGCTTGATGGTGACTTATAGTCGGATCGGTCATTCGGGGCTGGTGAGCTTGTACTCGGGCCTTGGGTTTGATTGTCCAGGCTATTCGGCCGTTCGTTTATTATCGTCGCGATGGACTGTTCAAGCTTCTCCAACTGTAATGCAATATTCGTTGTGCTTTTCTTCGGCGGTTGGCGCTTGACTCGGCCTGGACCTGGATACTGGCAGGTCATGTTCTTTCGCATGCAGTTACCGCATGGTGCGCCCTTGTCGCACTTGATCTTGTGCGCGTGGCAGCGTATACATGATCGCTCTACGTTGTACCGGCGTTGGTACATGGTCCTGTCTGCGACTACACAGAGAATGTATTCATAAGGGGGAATTTCTTTATCAGATCCTTCTGCAATAGTCTCGAGGGGTTTCGGCACTCGGCCGTTCGCGAATTGCCGATCCGATATTGTGGGGGCGAAACCTTATTTGCCACCAACTGGTCAGCCAACTGGCAATGCTCAGCACAGTTTCTAAATGAAACGATTATAATGCCATTAATTCTGAATGTCCTTCAGTGTTTATGTTAATCAATTGTATTCAACTTATTATCCACATATTTTCCTCCAAATTGAAGCCAACACCCGCCTTCATCGGTTGGCCAGCAACAAGATACATGCACCAATACATGCAGATACTAATCCACCGAAATCCTGAAAACAGATGCTAAATTTAAACAACGCTAATATAACTGCCTCTGAACTATTCCCAGAAACACCAAAACCCCGAATTTCCCAATTACCCAGTGAAAACAGATACAAAAAGCAGGCCGTGAGACTATGAAATCAAAAGATCACGGACACTCATGCCCTTCCTCCTTTGAGATTCAGGAGGCACAGCTGAATTCTCTTCCAAAGACGTCGACAACGCCGTACTCCCAAGGAACTTCTCACTGATCGAATCAGCAGTCCCTCTCCGATCTTGAGTCAACATAAGCAATGCAGCCGAAGCCTCATGATCAACTCCCTGGAATTCCTGCATCTTTTCACTGGACGCCCATATCGGCCCCAGTGCGGGACTAGGAAGAACAGATGAAGCATCCTGTGGGATCTGTGCCGAGGGGACTTGGGTGCGCGGGGAGAAAGACGGGGATGTATCAGGGAATTCAGTGGGGGCAGTTTGTAACTCCGGTGAAGCAGAGGTGGAGTATGATGAATAAGTAGAAGAACTGTCTCTTCGCAAGGGCTCGCCTGTTTCTGTGATGAACTCGGCGGATGTGGGCGAGGGCGGTGCAGCAGGTGTGTGTGTTGATCCTCCAGTCTTCATGTCGCGGATGCATTTCTCTAGGTAATTGACGTAGTCAATGCTTGCCTGGGATAATTAGTATATTGTAAATTCCTAGAAGAAATGTGGCTGTACCTGAAGAATTGCGAGTTTATGCATTTCCTGTCCAGTGCATGCTGGGATCATATCTTTCAATGTCCCGAACTCCTCGTTCATTTTGGACCGTCGTCGACGCTCAATTAAACTGTGTGCTGTCTTGCGGGCGATCTTTCGTCCTGCAGCGCTAGTTGCACTGGGTTGTTTTCTCTTGGAGGTTGATGTGGTGTTGGATGCGTCTTCTGAAGTCTGTGAAGCTTTGCCATTTTCCCTTGTCTTTTGGGATTTTGCGGGCGATTTCGGTTTCATTTGGATGATCTTGCGAGTTCTAGTTGGTGGCGGAGGCAAATCAAAATCCTCAAGTGGGCGTTTGATCGATGCACCTGACCGTCCGGTATTACCCGTACGACCAGGGAGCTCTGGAGAGGTCGGTGATGGTGGGACATATGAAGGATCTGATCGAGAGGACCTCCGACTGGCAGTGCTCAATGCAGCGGGGGGTAATGTGAAGGAATCCCCCTCGGGTTTATCTTTGATGGTGAAGCCGCCCGACATAGCTGGAGTTGGAAGTCGTGACATTGTAAAAATGAGGAAGTTGTAGTTGCAATCTGCTACAGCAAGGGGTCCTGACTATATAACCGTGAACGTCGGCCAGGTTATAGTGTCGCGTGCTTGTGCCCACGAGTCATAATAGGCAAATTTGATTGGTCGGGCGGAGACTCGTGCCTCAAGGAACAACGGGCATTTGCTGGACTAAAGAGTGGGGCCAGTAGAGCTTATTGGTAGGTACTCGGTACTTACCCTATAGTTTAGAAAATGGGGGAAAGGGGTCATTCTAAGTTGTACTTGGTACTTATTCCAACAATTGCAACAATTGAGGTAGCCCAGCACGTGCATCGATTGGACAATCTCCTACACTCTTTTTGCTTTTTTTACTTGGCATTTTTATTCCTATTGGCTAGGAAACTGTGTGTTTTGTCTCAACCCACGGTTAATTTCTGATAGTTAATCTTGGAAGGTTCCTTGACCTCCTCTTGATCAACTGGCACGTGCTTTCTCTCTGACCCCGGGGCCCCCCGGGGATTCTCTTTGTTACAGTAAAATTATGCCCAGCTGGACTAGCAAGGTGGTTTGTTTCAGCTCAGGTAGATCCTTAGGAAAATCATTCAATTAACTGGAAGCTGCAACAGCTCTCCCGTTCTTTCCCGTACAAGCACCTCATTATTAAACTGCAATAACCAATTATTGCTCTATGGCTGAAAAGGGCTAATCCATCATCCTTCCCGCTGTTACTACGGTGAAGCTTATTCGTACTTTGCAAGACCTGACGAAAAACCGCAAAACTTCAATTCACTTTTTTTAAAAAAATCCAAATTCTTCATTCGTATCACATAGTCCATAACATTCAGTCTCTTTTATCCATATCCCCTATCCAATTATTTTTACTTGCGGAAATGCCCAGGCTTGCACCTCTCCGTGCATTGCAAGTAAACGGACCAGCTAAAATCAGCATGTTAGCTAAATCCAGAAAAAGAATATTCCCAAAGCAAAACTTACCAAAACTTATCATCCTCCGGTACAGCAAGCGAGCAAGTCTGAGACTGCAAAGAGCACAACTCATGGCAGCGGTTGACACTAACACGACCACCATGAGCCGTCCCCGTCGACAAGGGAGCTTTACCCCGTGTACCCGTTGTAGTGGCATTGTGAGCGGTAGTTTCATTTCCAGGGACACGAACAGAGATGCGGGCACCGTGATACGCCCCAGAGAGACGGGGCATTGCAACAGCGGTGCTGCTCAGAGCAGCAATGCAAACAGTGAATAGGGTTGTGAGCTGCATGGTGGGAAAGTGTGGGGATAGAGAATAATAAGCTCAAAAAGGTGGATCTGGGGATTGATCTTATACAGAGATTCAAGGTGAGATCAGTTGCTACTGGTATGGGTCTTATCCCTGGACCGGCCGGTCTTATATAGAAACGGTTTGACGGCTTCCCTAATTTGGGGGCTGGTTGTCAGTTCCCAGGCCGCCCGCGAAGATCCTCCTGGATTGTACAGTGTTGCATATTCGCGTGTTTTATAGGACTTTAGGAGTAAGTGCCATGGTCGATCTCGAGGTACGACATTCCACATTCCTGGATAGGAGTTTCGAGACACCCGCCTCGTCTCACGATTTGATGGTTGCCTTCACTTGTTGGATATAGTTAGATCTTCTGATTATTAGCTACTTGGCTGTTGTTGATTGCATGTGTCGTCTGTTGCAGTTCTTTGCGCTGGTGGCGTACAAAGGGTATGTTCTGCGAGCCTTGGTGAAGCTCACATATTCTATACATTCCAGCGGGAGACGATCTCCAGGTACCACCCAATCATACTCCGGAGTACGAAATGATAAAGAAGTTTGACGTCACACTTGTACGTATGGCTTTCTTTGGCTTGTTATGGCTTTTTCATGGCTTGCTATGGCTTACTTTGACAGGAGCACAGGCCAAGTTTCACAGATGGCATTGCTGAGATACTTTGGCTTATTGTACCTCCTTCTATTTAACCTCTGGTTCTCTGGTATTCGCGTATCCAAAAATGCTAGTAGGCCGCTCACAATAAAACTTCTTAAGGTTGCCACTTTTAGATTGGCTAGAGTATATTCTCAGACTTAAAAAAAGGAAAAGCTTATTTCAGTCTCTATAGAAACCAATAGCTATGTGCGTCTATACCCAACAGATTTGTTCCCTTCTATCAAACTAAGTTTACTTGAAAAGCCTGTCAATGATGACCTTGCCAAAGTTCTCCTCCACAGGCGACTCATCCATTCGCCAGATGCGATTTCCAGCACGGCCACTTAGCCAGAGACCATGGTCACTTGGGCTCTCCTCCTCACCTTCGATGCGGTGGCGGCTGCGGCGGTCAATAACGCACATGCCGCGAGTCCACTGACCCAGGGTGTCAATTCGAATATCCTCGGGTGAGTTCTTCGAGTAAGCCCACTTCGGGTCTTCCGATGTCAAAGCATACCAGACGCACACAGGGTCGTGCAGACTCAGCTTGGCATCATCGCCAACATGTCCTGGGTGCAGTCTCTCCAAGGTCTTGAATGTGTGTCCCATGAAGGCATTGACCCACTCAGCGAGTGGGGAGCCGGCAGCCAGAAGAGGTGTGATGGCCTCCCGGAACTCGCCGCGTGATAGATTGTGGCGGAGGGTGATGTCCAGCGGGAAAAGACGCAGAGTCAGTTGCCGGCTGAGACTTCGGGGGTACGGTGGGAGCCTATCGCTCTTTGTGGGTGGGATTGTCGTGTGTGGGTTGGGCGAGGTGAGTGCGAAAACACGTGCGGCTGCCACTGCGTCTGCGTAGGCGTTGAACTCGCCCATTGGTGTCACCTATTAAAAATATCAGTCTCGGTATTTCTCCAGTCTGAAAAAGGCCTAGCTCACATTTCCGGGCTCGTTAACAGCACCGCCCATGACTACTACCTCTTTCACGCGGAGGAACGTCTCTGGGTCTTCTGCTGCAGCCAAAGCCAGATTAGTGAGTGGGCCAACTGCTACCAGAGTCACTGAATCCGGCTCATTATCACGGAGTGCGCGGAGAATCTCCTTGTGTGCTGGAAGCTTCGATGGGGTGAATGCGTGGTCATCGGGGCCTGAGCAGTCCTCAGCAGGCTTGATTCCCTCGCCGTTCAGCTCTTTAGCGAAGAGGTGTACCCATGCCTTATTGGCGGTGAGATGTGGGTGCTATTCAAAAGTTAGTATGGCATACTTTTTTATAGGCCACATATCTTCACATACCGTTGCGTGAATGCCACCAAGTCCGTCCGTTCCATCTGCGGGGATATCAGTACAAGGTGTCTATGGTATGGTAGAGCGATACATACGGAAGTAGTCCGCGAGCATTTTCTGGCTTTCGAGTGGTTCCTCTGCACCAACAGCCAATATAGGACGGAAAGCTCTCAAGCTACCGAAGCCTTCGTGGCGGCCATTCTCGCGGCGCCACTGCATCTCCCGCTCGAGGATGTGGAACATTGACACTGCATTGCGGAGGCAGCTACATATCAGGTCAGACAGTGTAACCTTTCTAAGTAAAACAATCACTTACCTATCTATCTCGATATTACCGAATGTCAATGAGATGAGAAGAATCTCTACCTCCTCCGGGGTGGCGGACAGAGCCAGCAAAAGGGCGAGGATATCGTCGATGCCCTGTGCTATGGGTCAGTTCTAGAGCTATTTCAAAGGAGTTTGATGGAGCATACCGGATCAGTGTCTATGATAATCTTCTTTCCCATGGTGAATGTTGACCTTCAAATATTGGAAGATGACAGAAGTGGGAAGCTTATCAACGTTATCGGCTGCGGGGATTTCGTCTGACTATAAACCCCTCGTGGGCAAATATTGAATACTTTTAAGTGGTTGTATTAGAGGCACCACAATTATTAAAATAATATCTACAGCGTAGTCGGATTCTAGGAGATGGCTTTATAGTATATATCTAGAATGAAAAAATATATATCTTAGTCCGGGCTTGGGCAGGCATTCCCGGTGACCGACGGCGCCCCGGGCTGCTAACCCAAGAATCTCCCGGGGCCGGCCGCTATCAACCCGAGCCTCACTGTGCCCCACCAGATGGCTGATTTCACGCCTAAGCTAGCGGGTGAATATCTATGTGGTAACAAGATAGTGCCTATTCGCCAATATTTGTCGCGTAGAGAGTGATCAGGTACTTGAAACTGTTACAGGAACGTCCACGCTTATTGAGCCAGTTATCCATGATTAATATCACAGGATAGGTGGGATCGCCAAGCCGGAGTAAGAGCTGCATATGACCCTCGAAATCTTCGCCCCCGAACATGTGAAAAGCAACACGGGTACCCGCAGCTTCTAGCGCCACGGAAAGCTATACAGCCTGGTGGGCATCACCTTGTCTATTGACCTAGAGGAGTAGAAAAGCGCCTACATTCGGCGCGCGGGCGTGGTAAGTCGCGATATTTACTGTAGGCCCTATGTTCTGATGCATGGTCACCATGACTATAATTGTGACTTAAGCTTTGCAGTAGTTTTGAAAGGCACAGCGAGATACTTGGGGGAATTAAAAAGATTTTCGCTTTTCTAGGGTAGTTAAGATAACCTTGAACGTTTTGAACTATATAATAAAGATTTGTTGGCGCGGATGATCCCGAAGTATATATAGGAGTTCGTCGCTCGAATATGCCCCTCAATCACATGCACTTCATGGGTTTTTATATCTAACACTATAGTGGACATGTTAGATTTCGTCAGATGATATTCCTATAAGAAGTAGTAAAGCCTATATAATTGAAATCTTGCAATCGAAACCAATAGAGGAGCTATTAGCATCAGTCACAATTGCTTCGTCAGTCTCAATAGTCATCCGGTCAATAAGACCTTTCACATAGCGTGAGCAGAGCTGGAAAAATATACAGGGGAAAGCAAATGAGAATAAAGAAGAATACAACCTTCGGAAGGAGTACGGTTTAGCTAATAGGGCGCAAAACAGTAAGAAACTAGTGTTATATGTCAAAGATCCGCTTTCAGGAGTGCATGACCGGTGAACCAATCCCAAGCCCTCTGAAGGTATTGCATACTGCAGGTCTTAGGGACTGGCCAAGACTCGCTATACTTCACACGCATCATTTGCATGACTCGGGCTACTGGAGATTATGACAACATAACTCATTTCCTCGTGGGTGGATTTGAGAGTCTGTAAGGGGGTAATAAGAACCTTGGAAGAGAGATCCCCTGCCGGATCGGCAATCTTCAAGCGTCCCGATCCGAGAAATCGGATTAATCCAACAAAATTAATGCTCAGGAGGTCCTTTGATTTAGAATGCGCTAGTAAGATATAAATCGGTTGACACAGAAGGCGGAGAGACAGGCGGAGACGTGGCCTGTTCACTGTGAAAGTTATTGAGACTATTGAGATAAGTCGCACTGTTCCCCAGGTACGGGGTATATCGAATACATATATGACAGCTGTACGGATCTCCCATACCGTATGAACACCACATTCTTTATTCTTCCGTGCTGTATAGGTATATAATAAAAACATAAAGTAAAATATATAGAAATTTCAATAAAGATGCCAAGTTGTCAAGGTACAGAAATTATGTGCAATTCAAGTTGCATTTTGTACTCCAAAGCCAAGGGCTTGGTAAGTTACCATTACGGTCACAGTACCAAGTGGATCTGCCACGGTTGCCCTTTCCTCTCTACTCCCATCTTCCTCCTTTCTCATCTTCAACTCTTTTACTTCTTCTTTTATCCCATTTTGCGCCATTGCGCTATTCATATTAATCCATATTCGCGGAATCACCACCCCGCGCACTCTGGTCAATTGACCGCCTTGGAATCTCGACTTTCTGGAGAAAGTTTCCTGGAGCTTCTGTAGCTGAGCGCAATTGTCCCGGCTTTCAGTGCGCGTGTCAATTTCAACGTGCGCGTGCGCAATTGTCCTACCTTGTCTTTCGGCAACTTTGATCCCACATCCCCTCTCATCCCAATAACTCCGCCTTTCAAACCGACAGTAAGTTCTAGGCTTGCAACCGCCCTGACCACGTTGATGGTACTGACTGATGAGTGCACAGCTCCATGACCATGAACCCCTATATTAGCTGGGCAATTTTGCTCGTCGTGGCAGGTGGCCTCGGCTGGTATTACACCAATGGCACAACCCCCAAGGCCAACGTGATTCGAACTGCCGTGGAGAAAACCGAGACTGTAGCCCCCAAGAAATCAAAGCGCAAGTCTAAGCCTGCTCCCGAGCCGGTTGCCAAGAAGTCCGAGGTTAAGACTGTCGTGTCGCCCCCCACCACCGAGGACGAGAAGCCGGACGAGGAAATCGACCGCAAGGAGATGGCCCGCCGCATGGCCGGCCTCAAGACCAACGCTCCTGCTCAGCCCGCTCCCGCCAAGCCCGCTCCCACCAAGAGCCAGAAGAAGAACAAGAAGAAGGCTACCCAGCTCCAGACCAGCGACACCCGTGCCTCCTCGACTACTGGCGCTGAGGCCGATGATGATTTGTCTCCCGCCGCGTCTCCCCCGGTGAACGCCACTGTCCCCTCCGCCGGATATGTTTCCGACATGCTGGAGGCCCCCGCCCCCGGTGCATCTGTGCTCCGTGTTACTGGCAACGTTGAGAACCAGCCCAAGAAGCAGAAGGTTCAAACTTTCAAGGAGGTAGAAACCAAGAAGCAGCGCCAGCAGCGTCTCAAGAACGAGGCCCGCAAGCAGCAAGTCCAGGAGGCTGAGGCTGAACGCAAGAAGCTCCTTGAGAAGCAGTTGCACACCGCTCGCGAGGCTGAGCGCCGCGAGGCTGCCCGATCAACTGCTCCCGCTGCCAACGCTTGGCAGAACAAGGAGACTGCTCCAGTGAAGGCCAATGTGGTCAATGGCGGATCCGGTCACGCTCCCGCCGTCCCTGCCGCTTCCTCTCAGACCCTCCTTGACACCTTCGAGTCCCCTGCTGCCTCTGCTCCTACTAAGTGGGCCCAGAACCTCCCCTCTGAGGAGGAGCAGATGCGTCTCTTGGGAGCTGCCAAGGGCGATGATGAATGGACCACCGTCTCCAAGAAGCAGATCAAGAAGAAGGGTGGCAAGACTGACGAGAGTGTCAGCGAGACCAGTGCCTCGGAGAACCAGTCCACCCCTGTCGCTCCTGCCCCTATTGAGCCCCGTGTGACTGTGACCCCAACCTACCTCCCCGACATCTTGCGCTCTCGTGAGAAGGGTCACCCTCTGGACTCTGACTGGGCTGCATGAACAATTTTCTCCAAGTCTTTCTGTCTCTAGTTCTCTCTGATTCTCTCCAATGTCTTCATCTTGAACTGTATTTATTACCCTTTTTTGTTTGTGTTTTGTTGTTATTTGGCGTTCTGGGGGTGTCACATCATTCGAGCACTCTCCCTCCCCTCAACTACAATGGGGGTGCCTGGGAGATTGCCACAACGCATTAGGAGCGGAATTGGTAGATTCCCCTTGCAAGCTGTGCAAGGAGGAAGAACTGCATTGCGGAAACAAAAGCAGAATTGCGGGAATGGATCTGACGATGTGTTTGTGCAAGTTCTTTTTTTTTCTTTGTTACTCTAACACAATCTGTATTGCAATGAAATCATAACCAATCTAAGAACAAAATAAACAAGAATGTAGAGGTCTTAGTATGAAGACTACAATTGTTGTATATAGATATGAGGAGTGTGTCGTCACAATTCCAAAAGGGGTTTAGCGGCCAGTTCCGGTTATCGTGGCCTGAAGTTGCTTTGTATACAACTCCTTGGTATTTACTCCTGTTCTTCTTCCCCAACTAACTCAACTACAAATTTCTTCTTCTCCACCTCTTTTTGTTTTATTCTTCCGCCATGGCCCAAATTCGTGGCACAGCGGGCTACAACCTCGGTCACCAGAACCCGTTCGGCGGGCCAGGTAGCGCAGATGCCACCAGCGACCCTAGTCCGCTAGATGCAATCCGCGAGCAGACAAGCAAGATTGAGGACTGGTTGGACACCTTGGCCGATCCAGTGAAGCCGTACGTTTTGAGTTCCACGCTTTTGTTTTGATCTTCTTCTTCCGTGTTGTGGTCCGCGTCGCGAGAGAGCTCCAAACAAGGGATTCGAAGCATGCACTAACACCCTGTTCTTTTGCTCTCTAGCTACCTTCCAGCTATCGGCCGATTCCTGATCGTAGTGACCTTCATCGAAGACTCGCTGCGCATCCTCACACAATGGAGCGATCAGCTCCTTTACCTCCGTGATTTCCGGAAGAGTAAGATCATATCCATGCTCCTGGACCCTGATCTGCGCGACCTAGGGTCCAGGGTCCCACAGCTCTATAACGTTGTCTAACGCGCTTTTCTTGACTTTAGTTCCTTGGGGAATTACACACATGTTCCTTATCGTTAATGTCATCGCTATGGCCGTTTGTTCGACCCTGGTCATCGCCCGCAAACGCACCGAGTTCGCCGTCGCTGGATTGCTTGGCGTCGTCATTACACAAGGTCTTGGATACGGTCTCATTTTTGACTTGAACTTCTTCCTTCGCAATCTGAGTGTTGTGGGTGGTCTGCTTATGGTTCTGTCTGATTCGTGGGTGCGCAAGAAGTTCGTTCCCGCCGGTCTACCCCAGCTTGATGAGAAGGACCGCAAGATGTACGTCCAGTTCGCTGGTCGTGTGTTGCTGATCTTCCTTTTCATCGGGTTTGTGTTCTCCGGCGAGTGGAGCTTATGGCGCATTCTGGTCAGCTTGTTCGGTCTTATCGCTTGCGTCATGGTCGTTGTTGGCTTCAAGGCCAAGTGGAGTGCCATCATTCTTGTGGTTCTGCTGAGCTTGTTCAATGTGTTTGTGAACAACTTCTGGACGGTATGTTTACTGGGCAATTGGTTTTATCTTCAGTTACTGACAGCTCTGTCTAGCTGCATGCCCACCACCCGCAAAAGGACTTTGCCAAGTACGACTTCTTCCAGATCTTGTCGATTGTGTATGTTTCCTCTGCCCAGTAGTATGGCATGTTCAACGCTAATAATTCCTACAGTGGTGGATTGGTCCTACTAGTCAACATGGGCCCTGGCCAGTTGAGCATGGACGAGAAGAAGAAGGTCTACTAGAGCAGAAGGGGCTCGAAACGCGATCCTCTTTCTCTCTATATATCTCCCGGCGCCTGTATCCGTCTAGCAAACACAACGAAGAGGGACAAAAACTAACAAAGGGTGGCTTGGCTGGTGCTCCGCGGGCTCCGAGCATTTGAATACGGGCCCCTTTGGACCTTTAGCTGGTTTACAGAGGCTATGCGTGACCGGGTTAGGCGTTGTTTTTGCATTTGGGATAATTTTGAAACGCCGAGGAGATCCAGCGATCTACTCTCTTGCGTCTTTCTTTTTGAGCTAAACTTTTGCGCCCTGGTCTCTTGTTTCATCGAGATCAAAAAGACATGTCCTTTGCATACGATGTTTTTGATATGCATTCGAAGTGCATTGCATTTATCACGAAGACGAGTTGATTCGAAAATCTAACGCTAAATGCGTCGCATCTATATTCTCCTTTGCCTCTAGCTTAACAGTAACCTACAAGCTTATTTATGCCCTACTTGTAGGTATAGGTAGGAATTTGTTGGCCTGAATTCGTTACCATTAACCCATATTCTTCGTTCATATATATATTAACCATACTGTGTGCGTTACCTGGTTATCACATCACCATAAAGCAATCCCACTCCCCAATTCAAACTAAATAATACATCAACTTGTTTAACTTGTTCAATCAGCTCCCACCAAATCAAAATGCCCTCGACAAATTCAACTACAAACAACCATGGCACAGGTTTCCTGGGCAATCTTGAACCCTCAATCAAAAGATTCCCATACCAAGGAAAACGCCATTTCAACAAGATAATGAACCAAGAATTCAAAAGACGATTAGAATCAACCGACCGAATCGAAAAATGGAGCGAATGGGTTCTATTCACCGATATAGATGAAAATACCTTCACCCACAACTTCCCAGAAGACAGCGAGCACAAAATCAACGATTGGACCACATCCCCCGCTTCATACGACAGCTCACTCTGTCTACTCTTAGCCAGGATAGCTCTTCTCCCACACGAAGTCGCCTCCGGGAGGTTCAGATGGTTGCTAATCAGTGCTCTCATGCCAATGGGGCTAGGCCGTTGTATAAGACATTTTGGAAGCGCCGCGGTCTATGGCACAGGAGGTGTGAAGCAGCCCGATAGCTCGTGGGCACCACGTCGAACTGGTGGTAACTTGAGCAAAATACCCACTGTCGTTCTTGAGGTGGCGCTTTCTGAGACGGAGTCGAAATTGAGCTCTGATGTGAGGTTCTGGTTGAATCAGGTACACGGGGATGTTAAGGTTGTGCTTACGCTTGATATTGATCGTGAAGGGCCGGGGATTGTACTTGAGAAATGGGAGCTACGGGATGGTTATCCAATTCGGACTGCACGAGTTGGTATATCTATGGATGCTGATAAACGTGTTAGAGTTGATGGCCCGTTGGTTATTGAGTTTGAGAAGTTGTTCTTTCGGCCGGTGGGGGATGCTAGGGAGGGTGATATCGTGACTGATACGGATATGCTTGAAGAGCTTGTCACTGAGATCTGGGAGATTCAGGAGTTTGTGGAGGTACCAGAGGGATGTTAAAAGGGAGGGGTGTTTACCATATTCGGGCAAATCGGGTTACAGAATATTGCCATTTTCCGGTTTATGTATCCTGCAAGAATAGTCGCATAAGCGTTGTGACGTCTTTTCCAAACCAGGCCGCTGGGCCAGAAACCATTGCCCATCTAGACTGATCGATGTATAAAAGGAGGCAAAACATTCATTGTTGGTCGAACGCTATGTACTGGTAACCCAAGCAGAGAGAGGGAGTGATTATGGTACAAGGAAGAGATAATATCTAGGGATTGAAGGAAAGATAAAAGATAAGTCTGGAGGGCCACAAAAATACTGCAGAAAACAAAGAGATAAGGAAAGGGAATGTAAAATGATAGGAAGGAGTGCTGTCATGGTGAACTCGCCAGTTCTCATACGGTTGGGTTGAAGCAACGGAGGAACTATAGGCGATATAAGGCATTTCGCTTTTATATACTGGGCCAGCCAGGTACATGCCTATATGGGATCTGAGGTCCCGACGAGAGGGTGTTTGCGTCGAGACATCAGTATCACTCGGCAAACGCGGAAATAGGGTCTCAGAGAACCGAGGAGAAATAAAGAGAGAAAAAAAAGCAAATGCTGGCTGGTCTTGATGCTTCAAACGCCGTATAGCTGGAAACCTAGGGAAGTCGAATGGAAGGAAAATAGGAGGTTTTCGAGGATGAGGGTTGTAGGGTGTTCAAAAAGCTTTTAGATGTCCATGCTCCAACGCCATGGGCGGAGAGGCTGGAATTGACCCAGGGCAATATCATCGCGGTGGTCATCGTTGATCTCTAGATGTAGCATGTGGATCTTCTTATCATCCCGGTGCACTGTGGAGAGAGTCTTCGATATATTTGGGCGATAGAACTTGTCACTGTCATCTGTGGCTTTCGATTGAGGGCGTGATGCTGGAGTTTCGGGGTATTTCCATGAAAGAGTCTGGGAGAGATCCGAGTTGGTGGTGCCGGTGGAGAACATAGAGTCAGTTCGAGAGTGTAATTCTGGGATTGGGCCATCAGATTCGATACGAAGTCGAGTTAGCGATGGCCGACGAGGCCGACGGTTCTGAGCGGTATCATCGGTAGCGCCGTCACCAGTCTCATTACTGATTGGTCCAGTCTCTTTTTCCTTGGTCACGGTCTTGGGAGCCCAAGATATGCTGTTAAGTCCAGGGGGGGTAGCACGAGTCGGCGATGTGACACCTGCTTTACCGGCCATCACTCGGGCACTTGGTGGTGGCTGGAGCATCCATCTGGTATCGGCACGGCTACACGGTCCACTAACAATGGGTGGGTGGAGATCGTTCACAGGCGGGACGCGGGGAATGTAATACTTGGAGGTTTCATTCGGGTCTGCACGACCACGTCCAGAGAATCCAATGGACGATCCGCGGACTTCTTGTTGTCCCCAAAGAGGTTCGTCTTCCCGTTGGTACCGCATCTCTTTCCACTTCTCGCCGAGCGGATGCATCAGGCCACCACTCTTGTCTTTCTTCTGCGAGCTCTGGTCGGTATTCCAGCTGTCGGTTCGTTGATGACTGCGGTGTCCACCCCGACGGGCTGGGGGACCAGGGCCTAGGGATATTTCTTCCTTCCACCCTACATTGGTGCTGAAAGGGGTTGGTTGTGCGAATGGACGGGGTTGGTCGGTGACGACTTCGTTGTTGCGTCGCTCCTTCTCCTTCTCCCGCTGGACCCGGGCAGCATCTTTTCTACGTTTCCGACGATCGACATTTTCGGCGCAGGGGGTGCAACTGGCATAGTAGAAGACTGCGGACTGAGCGCCCCGATAGAGCCACATGGCTGACGCGGGGGAGACGTGGGGGATATCGGTTGGTTTATTGGGCTGGTCTGCTTAAGGGTAAACCTTTCAAGATGGGCTATCAGCCCGGGAAATCTGTTTGAATTGACCCGGTATTCGCTCTATGTGTTGTAGTGATACTATCGGACACATGAAGGGCTGAGCGGATAAGGGGGGGAAAAACTGCGAAAGGGGGCGGAACAGAGGTAAAACGTAGGAATTGGAGATCGCCCAGCGATCTTTAAACAAAGAGAGGGTAAAAAATAGTTGGGGGGAAAGAGAAAGAGTAAGAAAGGGGAGGTGACAAGTTGAGATGGCAATTAGGGGAGGTCTGAGGGGGCGGTAATTTCTGCCTGGATGTTTCGCCTTAAGTTTTCAATTTTTTTTTTTCTGCTTGCGGCCTAACTGGATAAATATGAAATATAATCTAAATTGTCTTCTTTTTAAATCTTTCTTACTTACATGTTCAGTACTGAGTACGGAGTACACCTCATGCCATGTAGCCTCCTAACTTACTGCGCCAAGACCCGACAGGGGCCTAAGAGGCCGAGTACTACACATCTGACTCGTGGACATCTGATTTAAAAGATGTAGTAGACTATACATATCTTTGTAACATGACTGCCTAGTTATCTATATATGGCACTCTTTTGTCTTTAGATCTTTTCTTTCTACGTCGTATGTTGTACTCCGTACGGAGTACTCTGTACTTGATATATTAGCCTTGGCATTTTCCCGCGTGGAGTCGAGAAGGAATGTGGCTGCAAACGGTAACTCCTTTTTCGAAACGGAATGTATAGAAAATGATAATTCACGTCCCTATTAATTGAATCATATTGCCGATGTAAAATCACATTCCTTTTGGATCAAATAACGTAGGGGTTCCCCGGACATCTCAGACTTGGCAACTTGATAGAATCCAACCCCTGTCGTATATCCATGGGCCCCCCCCCCCCCCCCCCCCCCGCAAAGTCATTCGAGGGGCAAGAATGCCGAGTTGATGGCAAATCCCATGTGCCCCATTCTTTATGTAACCTGTGGCCATTGCATCATATCAAGGTTGCACATCAAAGATGCAAATCCTTGTGATATATATCAGTATAGGTTCGCAACGGAAAATCAAAACATGACGGACATTCAACACCCAGCGTATCTTTGCATCGTTGTAGGGCCAAGCCCGCAACGGCGGATTCAATAGTAAAAGTTCCAGGATTCATCGGCTTGCTGAATCGCTGTATTGCATGCAAATGGGTTCCCCAAAACGCCCTAAAAACGACAATGGAAAATAGGACTGTGCAAACCCCGCTCATGCATTCTTTGTGTCTCGGATTACCTCGCCCTTCACCTTGGACCAGTCAATGTCTCCGTCCATCTGTTCGTCTATTTCACCGCACACCACAACGTTGTCACCGCGGATTAGATACAGCCCATGCTCAATTTCAGCAGAGGGCTCGTCATCCTCTGGGGTGCGGATGATGCGTTCAACGGTATTAGCGAGGACAAGATTCGTCGTTTGGTCAGTTGACAGAAGATCGCCGATCAGTGTGCGGCCGTCAACAGTGAGAATGAGGACTTTTTCTGTTTGGTCAAAGCTAGTTAGTACTTGGTCTATGTAGATATGGTATGTATATAATCATTTTAGCTAACGGCAAAACTCACTATTGACGTAAAAGTGGAGAGACATTTTGGGTAGGAGAACGGCGGTTTGACAGAGTGCAAGGATATCTCAATTTTGCGGTTGATCGGGTACAAGCAGATGCACCGCTCAGTTGAGATGATCGAGCTGGGTCGCGAGCTCGGTGATGGTCCTGTCACTAAGCTCGGAGTTGCTCTCTTGCTATGCGTGAGCAGGAGAGGGTTCGTGGATCTTCGTTCACTTCGAAGTCCGTCACTTCGCGCAAAAAGTGTTTGTAAAGAGCCGGAGTGGTTGTGGTGGGTCGTAGCGTGGCAATGATAATTTGCTGAGAATCCTCAAGCTCGTCGAGAAAAATTAAAGCTGTAGGAGCTCTGTTCAAAGTCCGAGGCCAATTCAATGAGAGGTGATGGGAATAGCACGGAGCGGGTCTGCGCCGTTTATTGAATCTCAAGTGAAGATTGCGAGAACCCTCCTGAGTGATAACAATAAAATTGTGGAAATACACGCGTCGGCGAGCTCGAATAATAGCAAAGAGATTGGTGGCAGCGCGTGACTTGGTACTCCATGGTCTTTCCACGACGGACGATTGACATCCCCGATTCGATCACGTGCAGGAAGCTCATGGTAAGGATACCACATCATTTTATACTGTTTAAGCAAAGGCGATGAACAGGTTTTATGATTTGTTTTTTTTAAAAAAAAGAAAGGTTTTGTTGTACAAACTTCACTACAGTGCCAATGATCTACATAGATGACTCTAGTATAAAAGGATTTATGTATAGCAATTCACTATGTGTGCACGATATCGCCCGCAATTTCCCATGCACTCCAATCAGCCTCGCAAAGCACTCAGATCCAAAGGAACACTACTGCCCCTTCCAGCGCGGTATCGGCGCTCCCCACCAATAAATTGGCGTGGTTTGGGAAACAGTCCCTCGCTTTGGAATTTAAAACGCACATCTTCTATTCGGACTGGGCCATGTCCATGCGTTGAAGGGCTTCGTGAACTTGGTGCAGGCGATCCACCATTAAGTGTGTAAGCGCTAGGGTCCAGCGCTGAAAATGGTTCGTGGGAGACAGGGCGAGAAGAAACAGGGGATGGCCGGGATGGCGGCTCGCTTGGTGGAGCTACAGGAAGTGAGGTTGGGGGCGGCGGTGGTGGAGCACCGGGAGCAGCTGATGGGGGTGGTGGGGGAGGTGCCGAAGGCGAAGAATGTCCTAGGGCAGAACGGGCAGCTTGTGCAGCAATTGATGGTGGAGCTGCTGATGGGGGAGGGGGTGGTGTCGATCTAGAAGCAGCCGGCGGGGGAGGAGGTGCCCGAGTCGCGGGGGCTGATGGGGGAGGTGGAGGGGGTCCGGACGGTTTTCTCGATGTAGGCGGTGGTGGAAGCTTGCCCGGTGCTGGAGGTGGAGGAGGCGCGCGTGGAGGCGGCGCTTCAGGGGCCTTTGTAGCTGGCGCTGGAACTGTAGGACGTGAAGCAGGTCTTGGGGGAGGCTTCTTCAAGCCGGCAACCAAAGGATTGACCGGTGGTGCAGGCGGCGCATCGGTCGATGAGGGACGGGGAGGCGGCCTGGCCCCAGGAGGCCTGGGGGCTGTTGGGGGCTTGGGAGCTGGCGCAGCAGGTGGTCGACGTGCACCTTCGGAATCAGAAATATATGGCGAGTCTCGACTGGCACCTGTATCGACACCTCCACGACTACGTAACTTGGGAATCCCACCAGCAAATATACCCCCTAGTTGAGGTGGCATTGCACTGGCTGCACCATCTGTCCCAGAAACTCCCTCGCTGTTGCTTCGTAATCGATTCGCGGCTGGACCGGATGGTACAGGTGGTGCAAGCCCGCTTTTTGGAGGCGGCCTCGCGCCAGGAACAGGTGGTGCACCCGCAATTGGAGGAGCTGATGAGACACCTCCTGAGCCTCCGACTATAGGTGCTGATCGATCATTGGTAACAGCCTTCTTCAGCTTGGTGCCCTTATGAATATCAGAAAGAAGTGCGCCCTATCTATAGGTTAGCTCCCGAATTCTTTTGGCAACAACATTCTTGCGCCAATGAAATATGAGCACTGTGCTCACCCTGTCTTTAACTTGTGCTTTAGGAGGTCTACTTGGGAGAGCTCCTGGAGGGGGCGGCGGGGGAGGACCGCCCAAACCTCCCGGCGGCGGCGGCGGCGGAGGGGGAGGAGGTGGCATAGCTGGGGATTAGATGATGATATTATCAGGCAGAGGGTTTCATATGATTCAGAAAATAGTCAGGTTGGGAAGATGCGTTCCTTGAATAAAATGAACATGGAGTTGTTAGGCAGAGAAGTAAGAAGACGTCAGGGTGTGAGTACGGGGAAGTGGACAGCGCCGGGGCGAAGTCTCCGCCTGGACTCTCCCATCGAAAAAAATACAGCTGCCTTACAACGTTACTCACCATCAAAGCCATGAAACGAGTTGTTTTAACAGCCAATAAAGGGTCCCTACCACAGGGCCCAATCTGTCAATTATGTCAATTCTCGACTTCAGCGCCCCGTCGTGGTATCCCTATCGCGCGTCTCCCCACCGCTCGCGCAAGTCGACCTGCGGCCTCCAATCTCCGTATACAGCCCTCGAACCGGGCCGATAGATTGGTATTTGGCTCTCCTATGCTTATTCCCCGCCGATATGCTTCCGCTACAGCCACAAAGGTGAGCCCAGAGGCTGCAGTCAAAGAGATTGCGCGGGATGCATCTGCTGTGCATCAATCAAAGGCGGTGGCTTCCAATGAGGTAGTAGTAGAATTGCTACAAAGATGCCAGCGGGTCGCCGAGTCCCTTGTCTTGCGAGAACGGGATCAAAGCGAGGGGTCCTCAAAGGGCGAGAGCAGCGCGATCTCTTCTTTACTAGACCTGGAGGAGAAGCAGACTGCTGCGAAGAACAAAGGCAAATCACAGTCCTCACAACACCCGGACCCACGACTGGCAGATACAGTCTCAGATATTGCCGTTGCACTTGTGAAGGACGAGAAGGTCTTCATTTCGCCTGAAGCTCTGGCCTCCTGCACTGAGACCCTGACTCTGCTGCGACGGGCCGAGCACTTCCCCGAGATCTTCCACCTTTACGCCTACAAGCCTGTCCCAGAGGAAGGCAGCTCTCCAGTGAAGTTATTGAAGGCCAACCCCAAGAGTATCAACAGCGCTGTTCCAGCGGAGTTGGCTAACAAGGCTCTTGGGGTCGCCATTGCAGAGAAAAACCTCTCACTCGTGCTAGCCATCATCGACAACACTTTCTGCGCCCCCGCCTTCCACCGCGCGAAAATCTTCAAGAAAGCCGGCGTCCCTCTAGTCGGTCTCGCAGCTGCCCCGGCTGCTTGCTATGCTCTCGCATCATGGGCTGCCACATTCCAGAATACAATGGATCCGAACGTAGCGACTGGTATTGCATTCGCCGCTACACTGGCTTATGTTGGTGGTACATCCTCCATGGGTATCTTGGCCATTACTACGGCTAACGATCAGATGGAGCGTGTGGTCTGGATTCCTGGCATCCCTCTGCGGCAACGGTGGTTGCGTGAAGAAGAACGCGCTGCCATGGATAGAGTTGCTTGTGCGTGGGGTTTTAAGGATCCTTATATGAGAGGCGAGGAGGTTGGCGAAGAGTGGGCAAGTCTTCGTGAGTTCATTGGCATGCGGGGCATGATTCTGGATAAGACCGAATTGATGGCGGGCATGGAGTAACTTGATTCCCTGGATGTTATCATAAATCATATCTGATTTCACAATGTACAATATAACTCTATAAGAATTATCTACAGATACAATATACGAAAGGTAAAATTACGATATTGAGATAATAAATTGAGACCGATCATGAGCTTCATATTTTTTTTTTAGTCGTGAGACTACATAAACCCAGTTCTCAGGCCCAAACTAGAATACACCGGCGCAGTTAAGCGACAGATAATCTAGTAGACACGGTGGGGAGGAGACATGGAAGCCTTGATGACAAGACTGCCAACGTTCTGCCAGCCCTTCTTGAGGAGGGAGACAAGGTAGTTGATGGCGAGCATGAGGTTGGCAACAAGGGCCTCCTTCTCCATCTCGACGTTACCGATGGCAACACCGAGGCACAGAACCTTCTTGAGCTGGAACTTGATGGTGGACTTGACGTCGTTGACCTTGGCGGCCATGTCCTCAGCGTGGGAAACGGGGGTAGGGAACTTTCCGGCCTTGGAGAGACCGGGACCGAGGAGACGGGGAATCTGCTTGATCAGACCCTCGGAAGCAAGGAAGGCATCGTACTTGCGAGCAAGCTTCTTGATGAGCTTCTTGTTCTTGTTGAGCTTCTTGAGATCGTCAACGGACATGGCATCGATGTTGTGGTGCTTAGCACGGTCAAGATCGTGCTGGTCACCAAGAACACTATAGATTTCCTGTTAGCTTCTGTGTTCACTGGACATGCGCATGTCCTTCGCGACCGAACATCGTGGACTGATGTAAAATTTTGCGCCGCGGGGCGGAATGTCGAGGGGAAACGCACCAGATGGCCATGTTGGGGCGGGGGACGGTGGGCAGCTTGATGGTGCCAGAGAAACGCTTATCACGCTGGGGATCGTAGTTCTTCAGGCCGATCTGAAGCTCAACGGTCTCGTTGAAGTTACGCTTCTTCTCATTGAGAGAGTAGTTGAGAAGGTTCTCGACATTCTGGCGCACTCCGGCTGTAATGAGACAAGAGCAGTTAGTGGTAAGGTCATGTAGGTGAGAGACTGAGGTGAAACGAACCGACTGTGATCTTGGACATGATTGCTACAGTCTTCCAAAAGAAGTTGAAATTCTTATGGTATGGCTCTGCGCTGAATGCTTGAGAAAAGAAAATGTCGAGGGCCGTGAATTTCTCCGCTTGTGGGTGTGGACTAGCGCTAGTCTGGATTAGGATTAGCGGTGCCCTAGATTTTACATGCTGACTAAATTTATGGCCTGAGGCATGATATCAAATTCAATCTCGGAAACAAGTACGCTCTATGACTGAGGATAATGTTCATCGTTCCTATAAGACTATTTTTAGTTCGATAAATCTCACCAAGACTGCAAAAAAGTATCTCATGTTACAATTTTTCACACCATCATCACGTTTACGGATCAATATGTCCACGGATACTTTACATCCCCTCAGTCCCACTCGATCGTACCTAGATAAAACAATACTTGACATATCTCAGTATTATCCGGCCATGTTAACGTTGCTGCTGCTTCAAGGTACTGCCGAGCATAGTCGGCTGCTTATGCGGCCTCATATGGTATTTTTAGTGGTTTTCTCAGATATTTTTTTTAGATGTCATTAGTTTAGCTATCTTATTTCTTTTCTCATTTTTATAGGTAGCCAGAAAAAAAAAAAAAGAAAAAGCCGTAACTATGCAGACGACTTTTATATGTACATATATGTAACCTAGGAGGAGCATCGACCACATCGCCCCGCCACATGGCCGACCCGCTTATATTGTAACGATCAATACTTTACTATGTATCATATTTATCATGCCATTGTTCACAAAAGGAACTCTGTTGTTCCATATTACTATTGTGTGGCGGTAGTGATGAGGACTTCATTGTCATGGTTCTTGAATACATGTACATTGTTTGGCCCCTATCCCCGACGATCTAGATCAGCCACAAGCACGAGTCCGTATTGAATAGGTGCATAGTGGTCTAGCTGCATAAATAATGTCATTTTTTACAAACTGGCGTACATTTTATTGATTATTGAATACATATATACCCACCTAGTAAGATTTTCCAAAACTCCTCGTTGCAAACATCTGACCGCGTAATATATATTGAACACAGCCCGGATGACCGACCAACAAACATTTATGAAGTAAACAGATGTATAACACAGTCCACAAGATGATCACACAGCCTATTTTAAGACATATTTCGACAGGTGAAAACAGGTGAAACAAAACTTGACCTTGTCTGCGGGGGCTGCAGATGATCGCAGCGCTTAAACGTGACCGGCGGCAGTGTCAGCCTCAGATGACTGGTCACCCTTTACCCAGGTTCTACCCAGGTGCCCGGCTGCCTTCTTTTAATGAGGCTGTACCCCAGTGAGATCAGAATATTTAAACTTGGCTTTCTGCTTAATTTCCCGTATACTTCGAGTTTACGTTCCATGATAAGTTTGTTTATATGACTATTCGCTTGACATCCGATACCCCCTCTCGACTTAACAGCTGATCTTTCGATTATTGGCTATTGATTTTGTGGCTTATCTACAAGAATTTCCTCCAAACCCAGTGTCTGCAAACTACTCTGTTTTGCTTCATCATGTCTTATACAACAGATTCACACGAGTCAACTGCGCCTCAGGATTACTACTCGAGTCTGGACGATGAGGGCTCGCTAGCGGAAAAATTCAAGAATATCGACGATAAGACGCAGTTTGAAGCTGCTGTGCTCTGCCTAAAGGATCCTCTGACTCAGAACTTTGTGCTTGATTTCGGGAACGAAGACGCATGGTGTGCATCCAATCTGGGTACTGATGAGCTAAAATTATTGCTGAGCAAGCCGGTAAGTTTTGCTCCCATAACATCCAACTAAGTTGATTGTAGGGTCTTCCAGTATCCAAGATCTGACATGATATAGAGAGACAAGTGTTTCGGCACACGGTGGATGTAAGAATCAAGTTCCCAAATATAGCTGAGTGTATACTAGGTACTGACATCGCGATCATAGTAATATATGGGCACCAGAGGAGCAAAAAGAAAGCATAAGGGTAGGATTTCTAATTTTATTCTCATATGAGCAGTAATGGCTGACCATGGATCCCCAGGCGATTACCAAACACTATGGAGTGTCCGAACGACTCCAGGGGATGATGTGCACAGAGCCAGTGCATCCTAGACCCGAACCTACACCTACACCATTACCAACAAAAAGGTCTTCGCGAGCACCTAGTATTGCGTCGTCGTTCGTACACGAAGTGGATGACCCAGAGAGTGCCCTCAAGAATCTTGAACCAGATAAATCCCACGAGTCGGCGTCATTCGCGAACCTCACCTTTTCACAAGTCACAGATCAGATCTGGCACTTCTCATCTGTAGATCATGGTCCTCGATGTAAGTAAAGTACACCAAATCCAAGTTAGCATAAACATTAAACAATTCACCAGACACATGTATCGGCTATAATACGTTGTTTGTGATTCCCACACTATCACAGATAAATGGTCAAGATCTCCCGGATGGAAAACGGCTTTGGACCTGGCTGATCCAGTGCGATGATGGTATGCACCGCACGCTTCCCGGGGTTCGAGTGCATCCGCTAACTTGTTCGCAGGTACAATAATCTCAATCCAGGAGAACCCGTTCCCAAGACGAAAGGTAGTGCCGAAAGAGGAAGCCCAGCCGGTCCTCGACATCGTGCGCAGGAACATCCGCTTCATTTTCGCTGGCGTTTCAAGACAGCACTTTGCTATGTCCGAGAGCGAGTCGCTGATCACCATCCGGGTGCGACATTTCAGTGACCTCGGACCGGACCAAGCCAATATCAAGCAGGAGGATGGACCGAGTTTGCTCTTCTACTATATCTTCGATGACTGGGTGTCAAGCTATGGACTTATCGCAAAGCGAGAACACAAATATGGTGTTGCTTTGGAGAAATTGGTTAGTATCGCCCCCGTAGCACGTTTTGATGATGGCTAACTCCGAGCAGAGAGGGCAAATGCTCGATCGTCCGATAGTGGATTTGGTGAACGAGTTGCACTGGCTGGGTCGACGACTCGCAGTTCTCAAACGATTGTATCAGAGCTATGAGCTTATTATGCGGCGACTCTTACAACGGCAACGGATGCTCCGCGACGAAGCGCGTTCGGCCCATCCGACCCCAATGACGTATGGAGCCACCTTTGGCGATATGGAATTCACGGACATGCGCCAGTCGAGTGTTATAAGCAATGCCGGTTATCACAACACAACTGAGAAATCGGTCGGGGTGCAGCTGAGCTCAACGGCTGTGGCGCGCTTCGAACGGTTGGCTGATCGTATCAATTTGTACTGTTTGAGCGAGATTGAGAACTGTCTCAATGAGAAAGAGTCTTTGACATTCCTGGTGGGTATTTTCCCGGTCTTTATTCGGGGAAGTTTGCTGACGTGTCCTAGAATTTCAACTTGATTGCCCTCAAGGACTCGCAGGCCGTTGAAAAGCTAACTCGGATCACTATCCTGCTGGCCAAGGCAACCATTTTGTTCTTGCCGGTTAGTTTGATGAGTGCATACTTTTCCACGGAACTCATTGGCGTAAAGAATGGATATACCAAGACGGACTATTGGGTTAGTTTTGCTGTTATCTTTGTTGCATCCATCTTGCTCTTGACCGTTTTCGGTTATGCCAGCGATACGATGGAAGGTAAGACGATTTATCGATCCATGATACGAACGTTCTTTCGAAACTCTCGTGAGAAAATATCACGACGAAGACAATAAGAGATTGGGGTAATGTGGACCAGAGCCAAAGGAATTAAAGGAATTATAGGTGACGAGGGTGTGGGACCTTGGGGAGGGTCTAAGCCTGGACTCTCCCCTTTGGTATTTCATTTACAGGGGCCAACACGGTGTCCTCTTCCACAAACCATTCATAGTACATATGTATACTTTTCCATCCATATAGGCAGAACTATTATAGTCAGACGATATATATCTATATCTGTAGAATCATAAGTTGCCACTTTTTATATTTCTCTCTTCTTTTAAAACGAGTTGCGTGCTCTCTCAAGTTAAACAGGTGACGAAGACTACGCCCACCGCCAACGGTCAGCGTATTTCTGCGTATTCAAAACAAAAACGAAACCAAATTTCCCCTTCTGACTTCTCTCATTCCCCTGAACTTGCATCTCATTACTTCTTAAACCAACTTTATACCTTTTTCTGCCGGTAAGTGCTTGATTCAGTTTTAACTGGCTCGTGCCCAAACTTGGACCCCCCCCCCTGGATCTCTGACCGACAAGTCCACAACACGTTTTCCAACCCCTCCGCTTCTCCCCTTTCACCCACATCCCTCGATATCTCTCTGACCTATCCACGCCTCTTAGGATCCGAGGGTTTTCTCGCTACCGACAATATGGGTATCACTTTTTCACGGCTGTTTGACCGACTATGGGGTCGCAAGGAGATGCGCATTCTGATGGTCGGTCTTGATGCCGCTGGTAAGACTACCATCCTGTACAAGCTGAAGCTCGGTGAAATCGTCACCACCATTCCCACAATTGGTTAGTCCGCCTCCCGATCCATCTACCGATACGATGCGCTCTTCGCAATATCATAAGTATGGAAAATGTTGCCCGGAAACTGACTCCTGCAGGATTCAACGTCGAGACGGTCGAATACAAGAACATTCAGTTCACCGTGTGGGATGTCGGTGGTCAGGATAAGATTCGTCCTTTGTGGCGCCACTACTTCCAGAACACCCAGGGTATCATCTTCGTGGTTGACAGCAACGATCGCGATCGTATTGTTGAGGCCCGTGAGGAGTTGCAGCGCATGTTGAACGAGGACGAACTCCGTGATGCTATGCTCTTGGTGTTCGCCAACAAGCAGGATCTGCCCGTAAGGAATCCTTCGAGAATGTTTTTGGAAATGTCATGCTGACCTCCCCCGCTTTCTAGAACGCCATGAGCCCCGCCGAGATCACGCAGCAGCTTGGTCTTCAGAGCCTTACCCGTCGTGCTTGGGTAAGTGACATCCTTGATGTATGTTTCTACAGGTTCACTAACCGATCTAGTTCATCCAATCTACCTGCGCCACTACCGGTGACGGTCTGTACGAGGGTCTGGAGTGGCTCGCCGATGCGCTCCGGAAAACCAACCGCGATTAAGGTCTATAATGCGAATTCGAATCGGACGTGTAGCTTGAAGGAGAATACCGAAATCTGCAAATGATGGATTGATGATGACGATGGCGGGGAGTTCTTTGGCCACACATGACATTGATCTCTGCAAGGAAAGGGGTTCTGCAACTGGTTCGCTACTTCTTTTGATGTTCTCTCTTCAAACGGCTCTTTTTCCTCTACGCTATGCTATTAGCCTCATTTGTTTTTTCTTCTCGGCATCGCCCAAAATTGCTTCTCTGCCTTGGAACCCCCAGAGATCTGTATAAGTACTAAAATGTAAAATCCCAGAATCTCAGATTGGGCAAGAAAGAGATCAAAGGAACAAATGAGCAGAAATTTCCAACTTTCTATCTGTTTTCCATCTGTTTTCCTATCTCGGCCGTTTTAGGAGACCTGTAAGGCTGAGTCGGGCTAAGTAAATTTCAGTCCGGCCTATTATCACGTGATAGACTATGAATAGCAGTTGGGCAGTCATTCCGAGGTTGTTTGTATTTATTTCTTATGGTTAAAGTACAGTGACGAAGCTTCTATCTTGACAGGGTATCTAGCTAATGAGTTTGAAATGGATGTACAATATATATTGCAGCACGATGATCTACATAATTAGGGCTAACACAGACTCGCATAGAGTGCCCTAGATCTATAGGATGAAACGGATCTAACAACCTTATATAGGGGAGGAGTAGGTAACACTTCTATCCCCAATTTGGCTAATATTGTTGCTGAGCATACGAGAGATGACGAAGGAAGAAGAAATGTATTGTAGAATCCATGAAGGGACATGGTATTTATGCGCTCCCCTGTAAAGCGCAGTAGGGTTGATATCCCAATCATTGTTAATTTGTTCAGAGTTCGTGAGCTTGTACTCTCTGTATTAACTATCTGAACGGACACTAAACATACACAGCCCTGACTGCCAAATGTTGCTGTGCTATCGATTACAAACCCTCGGTGTCAGTGGGTTCCTGGTAGGGCCAGAGTTTCGAGAATAATTCTTTCTCTTCATCATCCTTGCCCAATCCAATGAAGATGTATTTGAATTTCCGGCTATTCTCCTGGGCAGTATCATAGTCTTTGGGGTCAATCATGCCACCCACCGGGAGCACGGCTTCATCTCGGAACAATGTCAGCAACTTCCCGACACCATCTATATTCTCCTCTTCCTTGGAATGAAGCTGGACATCCTCCATGGTAAACTCTATCGGACATGGTACATCTGGGAAAAGTTCTTCCCAATCAGCGAAGAGCGAGATAAGTGATCCACGGAGAAAGAATAGATCGCGGTTTTCTCACACTCCCGTAACGAGCCAAACTGGTTTCCGGATGATAGGGATCCTCTGATTTTCGAGGACAGACCAGTAACGGGGGGATCGTTTATACACCTGCGCTTCATAGTATTTGTGAAGGATTTGACTCTCTAGATCATCGTCAATCTTGCGTTGTTCCTCTGCACTTAGAGTATCGAAGTCTTCTGGTCTTTCGGGCACAGCCCAGCCTTCTTGAAGGGGTCCACGGTGTGCACACATCCTTGGAACATTGGCATGATAGAATAACGGTGCAACTCGTGCCGATTGCCAATCCACGATACGGGTGATTTGAAGGGTGTCAAACAGAGCCAAGACGCACACCGGGTGCTTTTTCTTCAATGATATACTCAGCCCCTACAGGACTACTTGCCGCGTCAAAGGACCATGCTAGGGCTCGAGTAACAGGAATTTTCAACACGTCGGAAAGCTATAGAGTTGAATATAAGTTTGGATGTAGCAAGGGCGAAATTGGAAATCTTACTAACTTGCGTGTGGCGATCTCAGATGCAATTGTATAACGAGCAGGCCCGGCGTTGGGATTTGGGAGTTTTGCGAAAACCTCGCAACCGTTATCCATTGTCAAGATAACTGCCTTGTTATGTAGGCCTTCTGCACATTTTGTGACTCTGGTGCCTGTGAATATTAGCATATTATCTTGTATGCAACTTTCAAGGAGAGCAACATAGATGATTGAGCCCCCTCGCAAACATTGATGGCAACCTGAACTAGTTGTTGTAGGTTAAACTCCCCGTAACGCTTAGCAATTTCTTTTTCTTCGTTGAACCTTGAAATTTGAGTCAGTTAAATCATTGTTCAAACCGAGATAAAATGTGTAGCTTACAGCCATCGGTGCCTGGTGTATCGGTGCAGATCTTTCTCGGAAATCTTCTCGTCTAGATGAGAAATCATCAGTTATTTAATACATTTAAATGGGATTATGGTGTATTTTAAATATGATTACCTTGGCCGTTCTGTGTTTCAGCGTAGAGCTCAGGAGAGCGAGATACGCAGTGTTGTCCTAGACGAGGTGTTGAGATGAAACTAGCATTCCGAAGTTGCGAATAAGGAAAGATGTGTATGTTCTTTCAATTAACCCGCGGAATTCTAGGAATAATTCGCATCATCAACAATAGTTAAGAGATATGGAAGTATGATGGGAGATGGAAGGGGCTAACGTCCCCCAGGGCTAGAGTCCGTGCTGATATCTATACGGCGGCGGACGATCTATGCCATCGTGCCCAGGAATTGATTGTTGGTTATTGCCACGCAGAGCAATAATTCTCGCTATAAGTGTTCCTTGAATATTAGTCTCAACTTTCTCAGTTTCATATTATCGAGATTATTCATCCTAAATGGTAGCCCTGGAGGCTATAGATAAATGGCACAAGCACCTTCAATTTTTATGCTTTCTTGCCATTTCCTGCGTACAAAACCGAGAACGAGAAGAAGATACCAAAAAGTGAATACTTCTAAAAAGACATCATAAGGCATAGGCGGTCAACTATTGAATATCTACAAGGATTACTCTGTACTGAATATGTACATGGACTACTAAAACTGACAAAAGAACCATGGAAGCAAGCCGAGTATTGTTAGGGACCTAGTCCTTTCCTAGTATATATCTTTAAACGGGTAGGTTCCAAGGTTAATATTTTTGACTCACTTTATTCTTGACACATCGCTTCCTGTTCACCATCACTTAGCTTCACTCAATTTATTCGATCCAATCTACATTCCGCCTCGGTCAAGGAACCATGTTTGCTTCTCTACGCGAGGTCGAGTCCCCTTTTACCATTGCCATGGAGGAGGACTCATATGGGTTTCAGATCGGAGGCGAAGATTTCGAGCCCGATAGTGCCTTCCACGAGATTGTCACCCTTGCAAATAAACTATCCGATCTATCGGAAGCTGAACTTACAACTCACCAAGAAGCCGCATTTGAGAACCATGTTCTACACTCCCTCGCATGGATGGTGTACGGCTCCAACAAGATTGAGAAAGCTGGTAGCAGCTCAGAAATTACCCTCAAACTTTGTCTCGTGATTTTCCGTGGTGAAAAGATCCCAGAGGAGATCAAAGAGCAACACCAAGATTACTCATCTCTCAAGGAGTATCTAATTCATCAAAACCTCCCTGCAAACTCCTCGGCTGTCCTCCGTTGTTGGCGAGAGGTTGTGCAACATGCCAAAGCTGCAGCATTTATGATTGACCAGTTGTGCATCCGTGGCCAGGATCTGACTGAGCAAACCCTCCTCGAAGCCCACCGAATCCTAACCTACAAAATCGACGCCGAGACTATGCCCTGGAGGGAGTATAGTGGGGTCTATCGATCACACGAGGTTAGTGCAGGCTTACATGCATTTCCTCATCCATCCCTAGTTCCGTATAAAATGAAGTCGATGTTCCACGAGCTCGGATGCGATCTAAAAGAAGCCACAGCGACTGGGAAAATCGACCCTATCGCCTTAGCTTCGAAGTATGCACATATCTTCGTGAACATCCACCCATTCATTGACGGTAACGGTCGAATGTGCCGTTTGATTCTCAACTCGATGTTAATGAAGTTTGGGACATTCGTTGCTTGCATCGGGGTAGATGAAGCTGATAGGTCAATCTACCTTGAAATCGCCGCCAACGGAAGTGCCTTGGAATATCTGTATGAAGATGCCGAGGAAGAGGAAAAGCCTAAGCTGCACAAAGAATTAGCTAGTTATGTATTGGCTCATGTGGAGAAGAGTATGAGCGGTTTGATCAGTGTGTAATGAAATTCACATATCAAGGAATGGATATTCTCCAGGATCCACAGTCGACATCGCCCAGTATGACAATGTATGGTGTTTTCATATGTTCTGTTTAGCTATGACAGTTTTATAGGTAAAAGAAGGCAAAAAGATCCATTTTATAATATCCCAAATATGTGGTAAATAATATTAAGTCCCAAGCAAAATAAATTAAAAGGCTCGAACCAGTCCATTTGAGGACGGGCAACTGCGTAATCCATTTCTTGGACGGTCTTGGCATTTGACACTTTGGCCTGTCACTTTGGCCTTGTTTATTTTCTTTGTGTTTTTTTGTATTTTTTAACGGTCTTTAGGCTATTTCTTTTTTTAAATTTGGATTGTTTTAGCCCCTGTTAACCTTTGTTAACCTCTCTTTACCTTCTTTTTTCTGTTCAAGTCTAGCCTAAGGCCAAAGTCCCCCATTGCCTGGACGATAGTCGCGTGCTCCTCCCCCCTGATTTGGGCATTTGACTTGCTTCTCATTATACTTTATGAGTGATTGAGTGATTTTGCGATACCCCACTCATTCAATGTTGATATATTGTCTGGCATCATGACCGTCCAGGCCAGGAGGCACTCCGCGGCCTATAAATCCCCATCACCTTATAATTCACGAGATACAGACATCGAAAAACAACCAATTGGCCGTCACAAATACCACCACCACCAAAGCGACGACCATGATTCCGACGATGAGTCGCTGGACGATAATAAAGTCGCGGAGTCCTACCCACCCCCCGTTATAGCTGGCGGCAGTGTTCGCCGCTCGCAAGCTAGCGTTGGCTTTCGCGTACCCCAACGGATCATGCGCTGGCTCTGCTTCGCTCTTTTCGCTACCCTCGTCCTCTTCGTCTTCACCCTCTTCCGCTTTACAATCTCCGGCTCCTCCTCACCAGTCCCTGTCGACCTGCCCAAGGTTGGCGGCACCCCGAAACCCCCACAATGGGAGAGCTTCCCCTTCCTCACTCGCTACCAGGGCGGGATCTCTTCCTTGGTCCCACGCCCTGAAAATATACCCGAGTACCCTGGTGATGGCTCTGAGGACATGGGCATGGTGATGGATACAAGTGAGGAGAAGAAGGAGCAGGAGCAGGACACCAAAAAGGTGACCAAGAGGGATTTGGCCCCGAACATGCTGAGCAATGTGTTCAATCCTTATCCGGACTACCAGTCGCCGGAATATATAGGCAAACACGGTGAGAAGCGCGAGTGCTTCCTCAATGCAGAAAATACGCTACGGGTTCCATCTATCCAAAGCTACCCCGGAGTCCCAAAGGGCTTCCCAGACCCAGCGCTAGGCTCGAATACGATATTGGGTATTCGAGACGACATGTGCTTCGATCGATTTGGCCGATTGGGTCCATACGGTCTGGGATACGGGGTCAAGAAGGGTGGCATTGGTGCCGGCCTGGACGGCCACCGTGAGGGTGCCGACCGTGTGTGGGAGGATATCCCACCAGTGGATTTCCGACAGGTGGATTGGGCTGCTGCGCAACACCGCTGTCACGCAGCCAACCGCCATCGCTTTAATGAGTTGCCGGAGCCACGTCTCAATCGCTTTGTTTCTATGCCAATGGGTGTTCCCAAGGTGAACATTCCCCCGCCTGCGGAAGATAGTCGCCAGGAACCGCCCAAGGTTGGGCCCGAGCGTCTTCCCCGTACTGCGATGGTTATCCGCACATGGCATGACTTCAACTATACACCGGAAGACATTATGTATATGCGCTCTGTCATCTCAGAGCTCTCACTCATGTCCGGTGGTGAGTATACTGTTCACTTCTTGGTTCATGTCAAGGATACCAACCTGCAGATCTGGTCCGATGACGAGACATACCAGCGTGTGCTTGATGATTCGCTGCCGGAGGAGTTCCGCGGCATGGGAACTCTCTGGTCTGAGCCGCAGATGGCTCTGATGTATCCCGGATTGGAGGAGACCTTGACTCGCGGCTTGCCAATCCACGGTGTGTACCGCAGCACGTACATGCCAATGCAGTACTTCGCTTTCCAGCATCCCGAGTACGATTACTTCTGGAACTGGGAGATGGATGCGCGTTACACGGGTCACTGGTACCACCTCTTCGACAAGGTCAGCGAGTGGGCGAAAAAGCAGCCACGAAAGGGCCTTTGGGAACGTAACGCTCGCTTCTATGTTCCATCCGTCCACGGCTCATGGGAAGACTTCCGCCAGATGGTCCGCGTGCAGACTGAGAGCGGTACAAACTCCGCCAACAACATGTGGAGCCCTGTCAAGGAGGGAGGCAGCGTGCGGAGCTCATTGCACCAACAAGGTGACAAGTCCATCTGGGGCCCCGAGCGCCCTGATGAACGGGACATCTTCGAGGTGGAGGGAGAAGGTATCCCACCCACTAGCATGGATAAGGATCAGTACCAATGGGGCGTGGGTGAGGATGCCGACCTAGTCGTTTTCAACCCCCTCTACGACCCCGAGGGCACGACTTGGCTGCTGCGCGATGACGTGACAGGCTATAACAAGGAGAATGGCATGCCGCCTCGTCGCACCGCAATCATCACCGCGTCGCGAATCTCCCGCAAACTGCTCACCACCATGCACCGCGAATGCACTCTCAAGCGTCACAGCATGTTCTCGGAGATGTGGCCCGCAACGACAGCGCTGCACCACGGCTTCAAGGCTGTCTTTGTCCCGCACGCTGTCTACATCGACCGTCGCTGGCCCACCCGTTATCTGGAATCAGTGTTCAATGCCGGTCGCAATGGAGCCTCCGGCGGCGCTCGTACGTCCATCTTCGGCGATCGCGAACACAACTTCCGTGGTACGACCTGGTTCTATTCTGCCGGCTTCTCGCCGAATATCTGGCGCCGCTGGCTTGGCCTCCGCGTCGATAATGATGGCGGTGAGCAGCAGGAGCTGGCTGGCGAGGGCCGCATGTGTCTCCCTCCTATGCTGTTGCATCCTGTCAAGGAAGTCAATATGATCATTGACGAGGGAGAGAAAGCAGAGGACCGCTGAAGGACTTGATTTCTTTCATTGCTACAACCTGCGAGTCATGATTTGGATTAAACCTCCTCTCAGCCATCTCCAGGATTCATGTACGCTTTTGGGGTAGATGCTTATTTGTTATAATTACTGTATAATGCCCCCTTCATTCCCCGGTGGCATAGTGTCCCCACGTTTTGGATTCTTTCTCAATTTCGGTGCGAGGCGTTCCCATGGCCTGGATGGCCTGATGACCAGGTTATGGCTCACGATGCATGTTTTGTCCTGGTATAGAGGTTCACTAGATTGGAATTTTGGTTACTTGGAAAGACGATTCTAGCCTAGGGCTATTTTTGATCAATGCACATAATTCGTTTTCCTAGAACTCGCTAATACAACCATCCGCCAAACACCAATATAAAATGCAATCAACAATCAGGAATCAAAACCTCACTCATCCTCCAATCCCCCATCGCCCCATCCCAACTCCCCCGTCCTTTAAAAGGCGAAGGAATCTCCGGAAACTCCTTGACAAGTCCAGGCGGACTCCTCGCCACAAACTCAGCAGGCTCAAAACAAATACTACACTCATACCCCCCCTCCCCATCCCCCGCAAACTCAAGACAAGTCGTACAAACCCGATGACCACACTTCGTAAGCAAAACCTCAACCCTCTCCCCATCCTGCACACACGTGTGACAGAAATGCGTCGGGAACTTGGCAGGCGGGTCCTGCACCATTCGTCGTTCAATTTCGGAACCGAGTTCCTTGCCCTTTTCCACGCGCGCGCGTAATAGTCGGGCTTTTGTGCGTAGGGCGTTCATTGTTGCTGGGTTGAAGGGATTGTTTGATGGTGATTTGGTGGGATTGGGGTTTGGAGAGGGTTTGTGCAGGGTTGGGACTGGTTCGAGGAATATTAGGGGACGGAAGTGGTCGCTTGATGGGAGGTTTTGCATGCATTCTTGTTCGAGGAGGCAGCGGCGGCGGATTTGGTGGTTTAGTTGGATTGTGTAGATGATTATGAGGGTTTGCCAGGCGCGCCATTCGGAGATTGGGTCTAGCGGGAGGATTGTTGAGGGTGGTGAGGGTTTGCTGGACATTGTGTTGATGTGGTTTTTGACGGGTTTGTTAAAAAATAGAAATCATGTAGTTGAGTGGCGAGGAGGTTGAGTTGTGTGTATGGCTTCAGAACCCTAATTTGGAGTATGGAATTGCAGGTTGGATTGAACTGCGGCTGTTGGGTTCTTTATATTCTCAGAAAGACACGTTGATAGGTTTGAGAATATATAGGAATAGAGAAATAGAGAAATAGAAAGATATAAATGTATAAATGTTGAGTATAAAAATTTGTAGAGATCCACCGAAGTTCCAGACATCAACAGCCGTGGAGAAGATATCCCCAAGACCGAACTTCTATTTACATACAGTGATTGGCTGGGTAATCTGATTTCTTCATCGATGGTTATCTAACTACATTTAGGCTTTTCTCTGATTAAGACTTCATTTTCTATATGGTAATTAGCCGCATCGGAGACTCCGTGGGTTGGTCCTTTTGTCCAAGGGAAGAAGTCTAGAGGAATCAAAAGGAAGAGTGTTAAGAGGCTCTAATGGATAAATACTCTTAATGACGGTTACATTGGGTCTAGAACTCTCATTGTGGGGAACCCGTAGAACCCGTGGGCATCTCTTCAATCCCCAGTAAAAGAATCATAAAAGTCTCCAGTTTTTCATCCATGGTCCATTATCTCTTCTTAATCTCCCTATCTGATTCTCAGTCTCTTATGTACGAATAGCGCTTCCCTTTGCTTACACCGACTTCAACACATTCCCAAGACAAGATGGAAACCCCCTTGAAATGAAAAGTGTACAAATACTCAATCCCAGAAGCCAAATCAACACTCTTCGCGGATATCACATACCCTTCGGGGATATTCTCCCCATTTTTCGCCTCTCGGCAGAGTGGCATCAATTCCAAAATCTGGGTAAGTCGACCAGCTGATAGTTCATCGGCCAAGCCCGATGACCATACCTCAATTCGGGAAGTGGCAATATCAAATCCCACCTCTACCAACCGCATGAACCACACATTATCTCGCCTCTCTCTCCATGTCTCCACACAGACATACTCCATATTATAAGCCAACGTAGTCGGGTACCGCGGGTAAAAAGTCAGAGACCCATATACTTCGCATCTACCCGTCTGCACAGACTTCCAAGTCCCATGCAAAGCCCGGAAAATAGCCGACGCCGCACCCTCCATCGCCACCTGATGGCTAGGGACAAGAGCGTCGCGCAAAGCATCCAACGTCCTATCCACTTCACACTGCCCCGGCGTATCGCCATAAAGATATCTAGCAGGAATAGCAGGTCCAGACCGGATATCACCTTGCAATGCCGAACGACTAATATCCAGATCCTTGGCGAACGACTCCATCAATCCGACATAGTCAGCCATTGGGAACTGACCGCGGTCTAGATCCGCCAGTCTGAGACTGCGAAGACTTTGCTTCTGGTCTGTTTCGCGGAAAGTGTTGCCTCCACTCCATAGTTTTCCGAGGAACCGTGCTTGCATTTCCATAACGCCCCAGTACGGGCCGCGGTAAAATCCGACGAATCCGATGTCCGGGATCTCCGAGTGGATGGTGCCTCCCTTGTCGAGGATCAGCGGGGAGAAGGGATCCGTTTTGGAGTATTCGAGGGTCGCCAATACTTCATCTGGTAGTAGTGATAGAGATTTGTACGGTGTGAATCCGGTGGCCATGATAATTGTAGCCACATTTTCTATTGTCTTGGTCACACCGTCGGGTCCTTCGTAATGAAGTGATGATTTTTTAGTATCCGGATTAGAGTGTATAGAAGTCACTCGGCCCATTGATGTTTGAATCGCGCCGCATCGGACGAACTCGGCGTAGTCGTTGCCGATGGCGACCCACGGTGGCTGGATTCTGGAGGCGCCATGGGGTGAATCCATGTGCCCGTATTTCTCATAGTCGCTGCCGAGTAATGTGTGGAAGTTACTGTTCATTTTAACTGCTCTTTCTTCCGGAATCGGGCCCAGGGTGTACTCTATTGGACCGGGTGGTCGACGGCCTAGGTCGTACATGGCTAAATCCAAAGGTAGAAATGATAGACTCCCGTCTGGAGACTCGTGGGGGAGATAAGTTGGTAAAGTCCAGAATGGTCTTGAATGTATATGATGCACTTTTGTCTCTTGGGTATGTGGGATTCCATTGGAAAGTGTAGATGAGGACTGGTGGAGAGCCACAGCCGACGCAGCTTCGACGCCTGACATGCTGCCACCAACGACGACGATCTCACCCACATTTTTGGTTTCATTAGAAAGTAGCTCTTCTCGCTTATAGTGGAGGGAAGAACTGTGGATGATTTGGCCTTGGAATTGCGTCAGACCTGGTATATCTGGAACATACTGTTCGGCAAAATATCCGGAGGCGATGACAATCAGGTCAAAATCTTCTGAAGATACCTCGTCGTCCTGTAATCCATATTCCTGCTGAGCTTTACCCGCACTATATATAGCCGTGAGTCAGGTCCAGCTTGAGCGCGATATAAGGAAGTCTCAACATACCTCTCCCGAACCCACTGAACATTCCACTTCGGCTGACCACCCTCAACCTTCCGTATAGTTCTTACAACTCTACACCCTAACCTAAGCACATGGTCTGGAACATAGCGCTCCGCATAACAGGCCAGGTACTCTCCAATCTGTGCCGCCTGAGGAAAAGTCGGAACATCGGGAATCACCGACTCCCAGGCAAGATCTGAAAAAGCAACGGTGAAGCGGCTGAGGTTTGTCCTCATTCGAGGGTCTAGTGTAACGCGGCCATTGATGGAAGAATGACTTGACCACAGACCCCCGACTTTGTCCTGGCAGTCGAAGATGATTGGAGAGAATGTTCCGCGGAAATGGTGAAGAAGGGTTTTGGCTGTGACTAGACCTGAGGGGCCGGCGCCTGGTGATGTTAATATGATAGACCTTATGGACCTGGATTGACTTACCGATTATTGCTACTTTCTTGGACATTTTGAGATTCCAAGAGACTAGTGTTTAGTATATTAAGAAATAAATACAAGGCAGACTCATGTCGCTAGACTTACCCCGCTTATATCCACTTGGGAAATATCTCGGGTGTCCTTCTATTTTTATAAAAGTATTTATTTGAATTAACTGAATTGCATAGCATCTGGGATAATATAATATCAACTCGCAATCTCTAGGTATGTTGTATACCAAATTATTTAGACATTATAATGTACAATTATGTACATTTCAAATTCCATGACATGAACGCCAAGCATCACGTCTTTCCCCATGGAGCAATTTGCCTTCACTTCGTATTGGACGGGCGCAATGCAGTGCGGGGGCGGAATAAGTCGAGAAAAGTTCGAGAAAAGTCCATGCGCAACTTTGACATATCCTCGTGCTCATTCCCAAATGGGATGGCGAAATAGTACTTTCGCCCTCATTTGACTTGTCGAAGCCATTCAGTCACCTGAATCTCAGGCGAGTGTAGATTAGGTCTGTAGGCTTCATTGCATTCCTGCTCTGTGACTAAAGTGTCGACATTTCTCTGAGTCAGGGGGATTTTGTACTGATTCTTTTTTCGGAGGAGTTCTTTTTCTGCGAAGGCGGATGGCGAGAGTTTTGATAGTGTGTTTCGAAGGCGTTTGATACCGGGGACGGAGCGTGGGACTTCAGGTGGACTGAATGGGGTATTGGAACTCCATGGTTCTGGAGTCTCGGTTTGAACGTGCTTCCGTGGAGACAGTGTTCGCGACATTGGGGATGGAGAGTCATAGCATTTGAAATGATTTGAGATGGAGGGTGTGGAGAGGATTTGATTCTTATTAAGTAGAGAGACTATAAGTAATTGGCCAAGGCATATCTTCTTGTAAGTAATTCCGCGGGACCCACGGGGTCGTGCCCTTTTGATATATCATTGGATCCTTTTTGGATCCTTCTTGGCTAGTTATTTTAACACGTCGCTATACTTCCCTAAGTTTTTAAATGATCGACGGGTATGAACTTAGGCTGATCATTGGGGCTCTCGGGAATTCGAGGAATTTTAATAGACTACGTCATGTGGTCTTGGCGTCAACTGTCCAATTTGGGACTGGCCAAGGGAAGATAAAAGGTCTTTTGACGAATAGAAAACATTTAAAGAGACACCTGCTTTTTATACCATAAGGCGTGGAAACTATAAAAATATGGGCTAACCATGGGACATCCCAGTCTATACATAGAGAGGTTATCTGCCTCTACTATCTATAACAGTAAAGAAAGTATGTAGTGAAAGGACATCTAAAAAGACTACCAAAAAGACACAAAGCCACATAAGTCTGTTTCAGAACATTCAATTCCATATTTAATAAGTAAACCGGAAACTGGGATGATCATCTCCAGCATTCTCAAGCTCCTCCTTGGGCCAGTGGTACCGATGATCCCTTTTCCCTTGCTCACGCAGCCGATTTTCACGGTATAGATAACAAAAGAACACCGTACACGCCACACCACCAATCCATATCATCCCCAGACTGACACCGAACCCAGTTCTGTAAGTCGGCGCTTCCGAGTCAAAGAAAACATTACTAGCAACCAGCCCACCACAATTACCAAACCCGATTTGGAAAGCGGAGGCAATAGATTGCTTGTAGTGTCCAGCCATGTTGTTACTAACCCAACCCAACAAGATCGGCTGTGTCATATATCCTCCACCCGTGATCGCATATAGGGCGAAGTATCGGGCACCGACTGGCACCGACTCCTGACACATGAGAATAACGTATCCAATTGTAGCAATGAGACATCCTGCTATTGTGAAGCTGTATCGATGGCGGAGTCGGTCACTGGCAAAGGCTGTAGCTAGTGCAATAGCCGTGGCGACGAGGTAGATTGGGATACTCATTACTTGAGCTCGGACGGATGTCCAGCCGAGTTGTCTCAGGATGGTCGGGGTGAAGAATGAGGTTGCGTAGCCTGTGTTGACTATTCCAAAGTACATAATAGCACTAGGTCTATTGTCAGTGGAAACGGTTTGGAATAAAGGAATTCACTCTTACCCAAGATAGATCTTGATATCTGAGAATGTGCGCTTCGCTGCTGGCTTGTCAAAGCGATTCATTTGCGCTTCGCCGCGGTCTTCGGATAGACGGCGAAGCAGTAGAGCACGCTCTTCATCGTTTAAGAAAGTAGACGTTTCAGGCCAATCGACGACGAGAAATTTGGCAGCGATTCCAGTGACTACTGTCAGTAGACCTTCGATAATGAAGATCCATCGCCAGCCGCTGTATCCTCCTACACCATCCATCTGGGCTATCCCGTAGGCAAGAAGCTAGGAATAAGATTTAGTACAGAATCATGCCATCATGCAGGCAATACATACTCCACTGACTGCACCAGCCACAATACTAGCACTGAAAAAGATATTGAATCGCCATTGTAGTTCGTGGCGCTTATAGTACATGGCAATCAAATAGATGCAGCCTGCTACCATTAGCTTGTGCTATCAAGAGATTAAAGGATTATCCGACCTGGCATCAATCCAGCCTCAAACAAACCCAGCAGGAACCGACATGCAACGAGAGCACCGAAGCTCTTTACGACACCTTGGCAGGTTGTAACAATACCTAATATCGTCAGTTCTAGTCTCTCAATGCTCTATCGATCCGAACATACCCCAGCAGAACATAATTCCTCCCAACCACCAAGACGGCGATACCTTTTTCAAGAACAGATTGCTAGGAACCTCGCACAGGATATAGGGGATGAAGAAAATAAATAAGGCGATATTGTAATCATGCCCACTCATCCCCAAATCTTTTTCCAGACCCTGAAGTCGCGCATTACCGATATTGATACGATCGAGGAAGGCGAGTAGGAATAAAAACGTAAGAATAGGGACGACATGGAGATCGAGTTTCCATAGGAGTCGTTTTTCTGCTGCTGGATCTATGTCTGGTATGGAATCCGTAGACTTGACATCCTCGACCATCTCATGGTGTATTTTTTCCGGGTCCATTTTGGATAATTTCAGGTAGGCCCGAATTGCAATGATACGGTGACATGAGTTCTTAAATATAAGTTCCTATATACGGAATAGTGGGACTGGGGAAAATCCGGGGTCCCCGCATGTTGATGTTTTGATTCCGCATTCTTTTTGACTTTCGGTATTTGATTCCGCCCCCCAGGGATGCCAAGAATGTTTATCCTGGTATTCTATGCTTGGCTTGGTATAACGAAAGGTGTATTCAGCAGATATTTGAGGGTTATAGTGCTTGGGAATATATTCACTAATATGGGTCTAGACCGAATTCTTGATATTGGGTATATCGGACGAGTCCTCGAGCATATCCTTCTACAATATAGAATTTGAAAGGTTGAAAATGTTAAGTTTGGCAAAGCAGATCCTTATTTATGACGGAATGCCCGGAATTATACCGCATGCTGCGCAGCTTTCCGATTAACTCGACGGAATAACCGACATAAATATAACCGAATATTGAATTCAACTGCAGCTATCAGGCTATTATGCTGTGTTACACACCTCACGCTCCTACATTCTTGCGAAGGGCCGGCTCCAATGGGAACGCCTGCTTATCCCCTGGAAGATCATCGTAGACTATGTCCCAGCGCTCTTGGAGTTTCTCGGGTGTTTCCCATGCATTTTCAGGGTCTCGCAGCCAGAGTCTCAGCAAATGACGCCTAAAATAACCACATCGTCAGTATGTTCATATAAGCAGACGGCACATGAAAAGAGAACATACTCTTTACCAGGCTCGTCTCTAAACCAATTCCGTGCATGGAAAATGCTAAGATTATTCACATATTGCACATCACCTTTCTGGAAATCCAGAGCCGCACTATGCTCTTCTGCCAAGAAATGCAAAGCGTCAAGCGCCTCCGCTTGCGCTTCCGTGATAGGGGGGATACCCTTCGATCGGGGCTGAGCCATAAATCCAGTGAAGTATCTTCTTGCATACTGGATTACAATTCTTTCCGGAGTAGTCGCAGTGGCTGATTGGTGGTATAGAAGTGGGCGAAGGCTGTAGGGCCTGACTGGGTTATCGAAGCTGAACAGTGTTAGTTTGCAAACACGTCTCTTTGTCACTTGCTGATTCTTACCCATCCAATGGCCAATCCTGAAATAGAGTATGAATAAGGTCAGGTCTTTCCTTGGCCAGAATGTTATACACATGCCAACTACTAGAAAGATAACTTTCGCCTCCCTCTGCGGCACGGTTCAGACAGAGGAGTGAGATGATATCGCCAGCATCGGTGTGGAAAACCTGCTTATCAGTCGTGTTCGAAGGAGCAGTGATACGACCTTTGTCGACCTTGTTGGTGAGGTCTTTGATATGGGATAGCACGGGTGAAGTGCCATCTGCCAGTCGACCTTCTTGCTGACGTCCTCGAATATTACCGATGTGCGAAGATACACCGGCGTAGATGATGATGTTGTCTTCTCGGGAGTAATCGTCGATGCGCAACCCCCGAAGAACAGCAAATCCTCGACCGGTGTGGATCTCCTTCGAAATATCTCGAAGAACAGTGTGGAGGGTAGGTAGAGGGAAAGTCGACTGATTGATATCTCCCAAGGGAAGATTGAGGGCTGTTAGGTCAGCAATGATATATCCCGAGGTTAATACTGCGATAATAACCCACATTTGAAGCTTTTCAAAGCAGCGTCGAGCTCATCCAGTTGGTCATCGTACAACTGATAAATCCAGTCGTCCCGCTTCTCAACCTCTTTTCCTTCCCAGACTAACGGCGATATCAACTTCTGCGGGAAGCCTGAAGGTACAGTAGACTGCAGGGTCTCAGTCTCCTTTCGACGACGAGTACGCTCCTTGTACTTTTCATAATCAGGGTGGTACTGAATATCGGGCTGGGTGGGCACAGTGATAGTCTGAACAGCGGACATGTTGGTTATTCAGAAGGTCGGTCATAGAAAATCGTAGATATTAGATGCCAAAGACCATTTAAATAGCGCAACCTTGCGTGTTCAAAGTCTATGATCGCGCCATGTACCAGGTATAGTTACTCAGACTGTCACGACATCAACCCCGCAAAGCGCGAGATCAATTGAACAGCTGAGCCTTTATAGATCCTGCATTTCATAAACATCTAACTTTGACCTCATAACCTGCTAGATTCTCTGTCTATAGCAGACGCTATCGTTTCTAACCGTGGTCAGCAATAGTATCTCTCACAAAGTTCATATTCTTATCGAATATTCAACCGTCCGTTGCGTGCTGGCTGAACCTTCGCCTGTATTTTTTCTCAACTACCTTGCCTCTACAGCATGGCTCAGTCGAGGGGCAAGGATGCACATACATCCCTTGAGAATTTTGGGACAATCAATCTCTCCATAGGCACTATCCGCCGATTGCCCTAATAACCGTTAGATCCGCAATAACAAGTCAGGCTTGCGGAGTATGCTAAAGCCCCCACTAGCCTTCACTACATCAACTCTGTGGTTACCCTCGCTTTTAATCATTCGGCCAAGTACTCTGTCGCCCCCACAGAGTCTCTACCTGACCTCTCTTCCGCTTATATGGAAGCTGCGAATGTCTTTGCTCTTCGCGCGATGTGGTACATTCGCCGTCTACAACTATCTCGCAAGACCTCGGTGGACAGAGCCAGGTTTTGAAGACTCCCTCCAATTTCGATGCCAAGGAGACTCTCATTTGCTGGAAGACCCTCATTTACTTTGCTCGACAAATGGATAAGGCGGAGGGCGCCGACTCTGTTTGTGTTGCTTCAAAGCCTGAACTTACCGCGCCTCGTTCTCTCGTCCCCGGCTCTGCTTCCCTCATTGGCCCTGAGAATCAAACCAACCTCTTTTCCGATTAGGACTAGTAGCAAATCTTTAAAAGGAAAGAAAGAGAAAGCAAGTATCAGCATGTGATTGACGTGTGACAACAGAGTAGATCGCCACAATGGAAAAAGGCTCAATTTGTGAAATGATTGTTCTAAATATTGAACCAATGATCCAAAACCTGACGCCATGACTCCCAAATTGAAACAAAGTACAATAAAGCAAACGACCAAGCCTAAGCAGCGGCTTCGACGTGACGGCTCTTTGCTGCCACATCAGCAGCAAGAGCAGCGAGGGAAGCGCTCTGCAGGATATTGAAAATGGAGACATCGGCAGCGGCCTGCAGCACCAGCATATTGCGCAGCTCGACAGCGATGAGCGAGTCAACACCGTAGCTGGCTGGTGTCTTGCTAATATCAATCTCAGCAACGTCGATCATGAAAATATCAGCCAACTTGGCAGCGATGGCAGTACTAATGAGCCGGGCAGCGTCCTCGCGCGAGCCAACCTCGGCTAGCTGCGTAGAGAGTGAAACACCAGCACCGGATTCGTCATCTGCCAGTGCCGCACGCGAAGCCCTGGACTGGCGCTTCAGGTGCACGTAGCGAGCATCCCGTCCGAGCTGTGAGCCGCCACGAGCGTCCCATTGCGGTCCCGGCGCAGTGTTGAGGCCGATGATAATCTGACGGCGGCCCCCGAGCGGACGGGCTACAGCCGCGCCGAGGGCGCGCAGAACAGTCGCCTCGTCTAGCATGACGTAGTCACCAGATTTGCGCAGACGCTCGGCCACCTTGGCGGTCTCGGCGACGTAGCCAACGTCGGAAATAGGTCCAAGATCGATAGAGACGCCTGGAAGACCCTTGGACTGGCGCCAATACGCCATGGCATCTTCGTAGGAACCGCCAGCCGCGTAGTTGGTCTGTGAGGCAATGCCTAGAATGCCCGAGACGGACGACAGCATGATGAAGAAGTCTAGCGAGTCCGGCGCCGCGAACTCGGTATGAAGGTTCCAGGTGCCGTCGACCTTGGGACGAAGGCCGCTATGCCAGTCGTTTAGCGTCATCTGTTCAAAGATGGCATCGCGCAGAAGCATGGCACCCTGAATGATACCGCGAACAGGCGGGAATCCGTCATCGGCACAGGCGCGTAGAGCTTTCGCTAGCTCGCTAGCTAGCGAAATGTCACAGCTAACGGGTTTGACGCGGCAGCCAGCAGACTCGCGTAGCTCGCGCACGAACAAGGCGCCGTCGGTGTTCTGGTTTCCTGGCAAATCGATCTGGCCGGCGCTACGCGACAACAGAATTAGATTCTTGGCGCCGTGGGCCACCAGCCAGTGCGCGACGGAGCGGCCGATACCGCCGACACCACCGACGACGATGTACGAGGCATCAGACCGGAGTCGGACACGGGAGGCGGCAGCGACGTGATTCAGTCGCGGGACCACTGGAGCTTGTTCATCTGGCCCAGCCGAGAGAACAACTTTACCGGCGTGGGTGCCGGTCTGTATAAACTTGAAGGCGGCCTGGACGTCTTGTATGGGGTGGACTGTCACGGGCTGGACCGGCGTCAAGACCTGCTGCTCGATGAGTTTGGCGACCTCAACGAGAACACGGTGAACATCGGCACCACGGCGTTGTATCAGCATTGGGATGTCTATCGCCGTCATCGAGATGCCGCGAGAGAAAGATGCCAGTGCAAGTAGGTTGTTGGCTTCGATATCGCGCTTGCCAACCTCAACCAAGTGGCCGAGAGGTGAAAGGGCGTCAAGGCTGGCCTGTAGTAGTGGACCGGGCAGCGAGTTAAGGACGACATCGACACCGCGTCCCCCTGTGGCGGCTAGGACGGCGGGGCCGAAGGAGATATCGCGGCTGCTGAAAATACGCTGAGTAGGGATGCCGTACTTGCTGCTGATGAGGTCGCGCTTCTCCGCAGACCCAGCGGTGGCGAAGATCTCTGTCACTCCGAGATGCTTTGCTACCATAATGGCGGCCTGTCCTATAGCTCCAGCTGCCGCATGAATGAGGACAGATTGTCCGGGTACAAGACGGGCAGCATCAACGAGGCCGGCATAAGCAATGGTGAAAGCCAATGGAATAGATGCGGCTTCTTCAAAGCTAGTGATGTTGTTGGGTATTTTGACGATGCTGCCGTTCCAGGCGACAGTGACACTGTTCCGGAGACAAGCGCTGCCATCTCCAGGTAGGAGGACCATGACACGGTCGCCGACAGTATAGTCACCCTTTGCCTGGGCTTCGGTGCCAACACGGGAGACAATGCCAGCGCACTCGAGACCCATGGCACGGTCTTTGAGCTGGCCCAAGGACGCCATAACATCGCGCGAACTGAGGCCAAAAGCCCGCGGCGTGATCTCGACGCTTTCGGGTGCCAGACTCCCGTCTGTGCTATCCTTATCGTCATCCACAAATGCCAACGTATCTAGGTGACCCGGGATACCGACCTCCAGCCGTAGTGGCCGGTTCTTTTGGAATAACGATTCCAGGGGTATGCTGGCTGTGGCATCAAGGTCACCCCAGGTTGCTGTGAGCGGACCAGTGACAATATCGTTGTGCTCCTCGTCCTTGTAGATGCGCGGTACTAGCAGGACGCCGTTGCGCTGGGCATACTCAAACTCAGCGGGGCCGATCTCGGTCGCGAGGACGTCATCGACATACCCGAAGCCCTGTTCGAGAACTTGCGCAATGGTAGAGACGATATCCTCAGTGGTTTGCTTGACGCACGGATCCAGGTCCAGGTAGAGGTAGCGGCGACCAACATACTCGTTTCGAAGGACGCGTAGGAATCCCTGAGCAAGAGAATGCTCGGGTTGTTCGCTGTCGACGGCACCGCCGGTCGTGATCCAAAGCAAGCCGCCACACTGCGTGATCATTGCGCGGAGGCCCTCAATACGTTCAGCATCAAGATCGGTGAGTATGGTTGGCTCGTCGATTTCGCTGACAAAAATACAGACTTTGGCTTCGTACGCGTCGAGGCTGCTCTCTTCCAGCACGAGATGTTGCACGGTAGTTTTAGTCAAATCTTGGATGCGCTGGGAGAGCAGATCGACCAGACCAGCCGGCGAAGGTGTCTTGTTACTAGTCACCACAGCAAAGCCGCCGGGGTTGCTGGCACGGCTTAGGTCTGGCTGCTGGAGCTCACCAATTGGCAGGGTAGATAACATGGTGGTTGTGGCGTCGCCGATGGCAAGGTCAACACCGCTGAAACCGGCTTCGCGAAGCAAGCTGTCCCAGGAAGAAGTCGAAAGGGACGATGTTTCGGTAGGCAGCAATCCAAAGATAAATGATATGTCAGGCTGGTCCTCGTTCTGAGTCGTCTCCGCTAGCAGTAGCGTTCCAGCGGGCTTCAGAAGGCTGCGCACATGGGCCAAGGTGGTAGGTACATCCTTCGCCGTGCGCAGAGACTGGTAGAACACGACGATATCGTAGCTCTCGGGTGTAAATTTCTGTTTAGACGGGTCGCTGTCGATGTCGAGCTGGCCGAATTCAAGCAGATCGGCCCAATCAATCAGATCCGCCTGGGCATCTTCCAAAACGTCTGCCGAGGGCTCGGTGATGTGCCAGCTGGCCACCAGAGGAACTTTGGGCGTGCCAAGCGCCTCAAGGATACGTCGAGTGGCAGCACCACCAGTACCGGCACCGACTTGCAGAACGCGCGCAGCCGGATTCTTGTGAGCTACTTTACGCACCAGCGTTGACAGCTGTGTGAGCGACGGCGCTAGACGCACAGAGTGGGCATAGTACTTGTGCAGCAGCCCATCCTCAATCATAGCCACTAACGGGTTGCTCTCGCCACGAAGGATGGAGCCGACGAGGGGGCCAAGACGGCAGATTAGCTCACCGTCGACGCTCTGCGAGGCCACGGCAGCTAGCTTCCTTTGGAGATCTTCCGGGCTGCCTGGCGCCCATTTCATGTTCTCGCCCTGGGCAACTAGTTCCGTGAGCCAGGTATAGTATTTGAAGAAGTGCAGCTGCTCATCTTTCAGCCGGTCCACATCGTTGGGAGTGAGCGATTTCAGCGCCTCCTGAGCGAAGTAGAACACGGCACGGGAAAGATCCGTGAGAATGGTCTCCGGAATTCCAACAGCC